GTCCATCTCTTTTTCTGCGTACTGATACTCGGAAGGCTCAGGTTCATATCTCGGTGACACCAATAAAAAATTAAGTTAAATTTTCCAATTGCGGTCGCCCCTCGGCAGGGAACGTCCACCCCTCCTAGTGTATTTCGGACATGAAATAAAGGCTCCTCTTAAAAAAGCCACCAGCGTTTCGGAAGCAGCTTACAGTATAAACTATAAGGCCCTCCATTTGTTGGAAAATTATCAAGACGTAAAAAATACAAATTGGAGGAGGAGCTCAGCCGAAAAATCGCTTCAGCGGTTACAAAGCGCCAATAAGAGAAAATCCATAGAGCTCCAAACACTTTTCCACGTATTTGAACCGATTGTCGATTGACGGTAACAATAAAATGGTCATTCAGTGCCACTATTCACTCTAGCTTCATCTCCAAAAATTTAATTAAATCACTGTTATTTAATTTTTTGATAATGGTGAAGGATGTCGCTGTGTTTTTAGAGCATCTCTGTATGAGACCAAAATTTGCCTATTACATATACGACGGGTTGCAATTGAGCAATTTTGGTACGAATTTCAGCATCGCATGAACATTGCTAAAGAGATGTTGGCCTCTGTTCGCGACGATCCAAATTTTTTCATGGGTCATAACTGGTGATGAATCGTGGGTTTATAGTGGAAACCAAAGCTCAATCATCTCAATGGAAGCTGCCGCACGAACCAAGACCGAAAAAAGCGCGCCAAGTTCGGTCGAATGTGAAAGTTTTGCTGACAGTTTTCTTCGATTGCAGGGGCGTAGTGCATCATGAGTTCAGGGTAGAACGGTCAATAAGTAACATTACCTGCAAGTTATGCGCAATTTGCGCTAAGCAATCCGCCAGAAACGCCCGGATTTGTGGAAGGACAAAAATTGGCTTTTGCACCACGATAACGCCCCACACATCGTTGCTTGTGCGCGACTATTTGGCCAAAAACAACACATTAATGCTGCCGCAGCCACCGTATTCCCCATATCTGGTCCCCTGTGACTTTTTCTTGGTCCTTAAACTGAAGAGGCTCATAAAAGGACGACGTTACGCTACAATTGACGAGATAAAGACGGCATCGAAGGAGGAGCTGAAGAAGATAAAAAAAATGATTTTTTGAAGTGCTTCGAAGATTGGAAAAACCGTTGGCACAAGTATATAATATCTCATGAGGATTACTTTGAAGGGGACAAAATAGATATTCATGAATAAATAAATAATTTTTGAAAAACCACAAAATTCGCGATATTTTTTGAACACACCTCGCAGAGACCGAAATTTCTACTTCCTTCTAAATTATTTTGGTCAGCGGTTATATTTGGAGCTAATGAGAAAACATAAGAAATATTTGTAATCAAGGCACGTACACATATCTGATGCATATATATTAATATATATACGTATATCTATACTCATATGTAAATATTTATACTGTATATACATAAGAAGTTAAAAAAAATTAATAATTAAGCAATAATAATTTGTTACGAAATGTTTAAAGGTAACCAGCAACGTAATAAAGCAATATTTTGAAAATACTCTTCGATATGTATGTACATACTCGTATATGAATCTAAAAGTATGTACGATTTATTTGTAAATATCTTAATTGAGTTGCTTGAATATTTTTAATCGCCGATTCAATTCGACAAAATGTAATTAACAGATTTGATTTATAACTCTTTACAAAAAAAAAATTAATAATATAAGTACTGAGCTTCTAGCCGTCAAAGCGTCTAGAATTGTATATAGCCAGTATACGTGTGTTAGAGAGACAGACAGACAGTTTCTGCAATGCGACTATAATAAAAAAAAAAAAAAGAGTTATGCAGAAACCTGTATTCAACAATACAACAACGTCAAAAGCAAAGAAAAATGAAAAAAATCGATTTCAAGGTCAGAAATACGCATAGTATTACTAACAAGAAAAAAGAAAAAAACGACGATAATCTTTATGCACAAAATATTAACGGTTTTAACGGAAGTTAACAGCTTATTTTAGTAGCCGGCTTTTAATATGAAAATTATTAAAACACTTTAAAAAAAAGAGGGTGATAATTATACGTAAACGCTCAATGTCAGCGAACGCTTTTAAAAAATATTGTCTTAGAGACCAGATAAGAAAAACAGAAACAGAAATTAGAGTAAAACAATAAACGATCAGCACACCGCCTTTTTGGATTCTGTCTGTATACACGTATAGCGAGCCTTAACGTAATCAGAATACGATTCAAGAAGTAAAGTGATCGCAACAGAACCGAATAATGTGACGAAAAGGACATCTGTTACTTAACGAATCATCCTAGAAAACGTTCTGTTAATTATATTAATTCTTAGTATAACCTAAGTGTTTTCAGGAAGCCTATAAGACATAGGGGGCGCACGGATCCAATAAAGTTGTTCTCAGACTGTAACGCTCCAAGGCATTTTTGACTACTTCTTGCTACCAATGTTACTGGCTCCTTGTTACAATACAATGACGGTAAATGTAGTCCGAGCTGATGCCTGGTTTATATATATAATATCGGAATATGCAGTGTCCTCTCAGAATCCCCGAAAAAATTCATTGATTATTTTCAAATTATTTTACATTCAAAAACTTCATGATCATTGGTTTGGTAATTGCAAGCCAAGACGTTCTCTGCGCTTTCTGAAACTGTTGCTCATTCCTAAGGGTGAGGCAAATCGCCGTGATTCAAAAATACTTTGTGTTTCTCTTATGCATATATGGATGAGTGCATAAGTTCGTGCCCGATTCCGCTGGATGCCGTTCGAATCGTTTGAGAGTGGCGCTAATGAAAGAAATATATACATATTATATATGATAGGAAAGGTGACAGTCCGAACTGTAAATCAAGCATAAAATAACTTCATTTTGATTTGAGTTGCTTAGTGAAAAGACGCATGGAAGATGGACAACGAAAAAGATCATATGTGTCATTTTATGTTATACGAATTCCGCAAAGCAAAAACAGTAGGCGCTGCAACTAAAGATATTCGCGAAGTTTATTTGGACCGTGATCCAGCACTCCGCACAGTAAAGAAATGGTTCGCGAAATTTCATTCTGGAGATTTTAACCTCGAAGATCAACCTCGCAGTGGACGGCCTTCTGAGCTTGATGACGATGTTCTAAGGACTTTAGTTGCGAATAACTCACGTATTTCGACGGAAGAGGTTGCCAGTGAATTGAACGTCAACAAATCAACTGCGTTTCGTCGTTTAAAAAAGGTTGGGTACACTTTGAAGCTCGATACATGGGTGCCACATCAGTTGAGTGAAAAAAACAAAGTGGACCGTATGTCAACAGCAATTTCTTTGCTTCGACGGATCAAAAACGAACCTTTTTTGGATCGGCTCGTGACTGGTGATGAAAAATGGATCCTGTACAACAATGTTCAACGCAAAAGAACATGGAAACAGGCACACGAAGGGGCGGAACCGATGTCGAAAGGTGGATTGCATCCGATGAAGGTACTGCTGTGCATTTGGTGGGATATCCGAGGCGTGATCTATTTTGAGCTCTTGCCAGCTGGAGAAACGATCACTGCCAACAAGTATTGTCAGCAATTGGTCGAATTGAAGAAAGCAATTGATGAAAAACGTCCGATTTTGGCCAATCGCAAAGGAGTTCTTTTCCATCATGACAACGCCAGGCCACATGTTGCAAAACCGACCCTGGCCAAACTGAAGGAGATGAATTGGGAAATCATGCCGCATCCCCCATATTCACCCGACATTGCACCTTCTGATTATCATTTGTTTCGATCGCTGCAGAACAATTTGAATGGAAAAAAATTTAAAAATGTGGAAGACGTCAAAAACCACCTTGACACCTTTTTCAACGAGAAACCGCGCGATTTCTATGAATCAGGCATCCGTAAATTGGTTGAACGTTGGGAGTGGATTGCCGAACATGATGGCGAATACATAATTGATTAATAAAAGCGCTTTCTTCAAAAAATTTCAATTTTAGTTTGCACTTGAAATCGGGCACGAACTTATGCACTCATCCAATATGTATACTCGAATCAGCTGATTCCCTCAAATACGTTTGCCGTTTTTTCAAAATCTTAAGGTTCAAAAAGTTAGCCACATGCGATTCAGTGATTTTTGAAAACTAATATAAGGAGGTATAATATTTGCGAAGTAAACTCTTAACTTTCTTAATATAAATACGCAAAGCATATATCTGCAGTCGTTTTCACTCATTTTACTTTATGTCGAAGATATCGAGTTTCTCTAGAGCATCTTACCATACTCATTTACAGTATATGCCTGATATATGATCCAATTCAGATTTTTTTGTCAGTCCATAATCTTATTTAAATGTTTCAACTCCGCTTTGTTTGAATTGTATCTATAAATTATTTAAGATCTACTAGAGCTCAAGATTTTCTTGATATATTTTTGAGCAGCTCTACCATTGGAGCAATGAGCACTCGCACATTTCTTCATTACTCGAAAGTTTACGAGCACGAGCAAGGCAAATTTACACACAATATTAGCAAGAATATAAATACAATAAGCCTATGTATTTTGTTTGTGTAATCGAAGTTTCGAAAAGCCAAAAATGGAAGGAAGAACAAGCAATCATATGAAGTGACAACTTCACCTTCTATAATTCGCCTTGAGTACGAACTGGAGCAATTCGAACTTTTTCAAATATTTTGAACAAAAATTTTGACTTTTTTCTCACAATTTTATTCTACAATCATAAATTTATTTATATGCATTTTTGGTGAAAATATTTTGGCAAACAGAATTAGAAATTGAAAATTTTCAAAGAATTATTTGAGCGATTGAGCAACGAACGAGTATCGAACTAATCACATTGCTCGATACCCGGGTATCTAGAGCTCTAAAATCTACTAAAGATTTTCAAAAATTCTATACAATTGAAATGTACATAGTAGAAGTTATAATTTTTCAGTTTAAAATTTTAAAATAAAATTTAATATCAATAAAATATATTTTAAAATTCTACTTGCAGTTCCGGAAGAGTGTTTCCGACATAATCAATGAAACCCATGACGACTACTACCTTCTACGGTGGTTGCGAGGTATGAGTAATTGTTATTATAATACATAACACGACATACAATTAGTTTGTTAATACTAGTCTAAGTCATAAGTAAATATCAAAATAATAGATATATAAATACCAGGGAGCGTTATGTTCGCAGAATTGGGAGAAAGGGTGGAAATAACAAATACAAATTATTTTTTCTTTTTACAATATATTTATTCGCAAGTCGGATACACAAACAAAATCTTTCAATTTATTTATTTATATATAATATATACATACAATTAGCGCCTTGTAATCGCTGAAGCGATATCTTTCTTTATCTTCAAAAGACGCTGAAGCTACCTCCTTGACCTCATCATCGGTGGTACATTTTTTATGCCTCAGCTTTTTATTCATTTTTTGAAACAGGTAAAAATCAGTCGAAGCCAAGACTAGAGGCTGAAGGCTGGGAGCTTTGAAATATCGAAGCCCATCTTGTGCAGAGCAGCCAACTCAACGTAGCTCTTATGGATGGGGCAGCACACATAACTTCGTTAATTTTCACTCTCTTTTTTCTCTTTAATAACTTCTTTTAATCGCTCTAATATTAGAGCATAGTTTCTCCAGTTGGCGGCAGCAGTAACCAAGTAGTTAATGAGCATTGTGTACAGCCGTTCGGAAAGCCCGGTGCGACCAACATTCAAAAAATTAAAAAAAAACTGTATTTATATAAAAACTTAAGCGAAATTTTCTAATTTCGGTCGCCTCTCGGCAGGGTATGTCAACCCCTCCGAATGTATTTCTGACCTGAAATAAAGGCTCCTCATAAAAAAAAAACATCAGCCTTTCGGAGGCGATTTAGTATAAACTGTAAGTCCCTCCATATATACCCTTTTAGAGAAACATTTTTATCTGTGCAACTCATAAGCAATCATTCGACTCAATCCACCGTCCTTCTCTATATTACAGGGTGCCATGGTTTTTGCGATAGCATGAGCATTCTTGGTACCCATCTTGTGCTGACCTTAGTCATGCCAAGATGATTGTGCAAGATTTTACAAATGATTGTATCGGATACTTTAATCTTTTCTGTGAGTCGTTTCTTCATTACTTGAGCAGCATCGAAGATAATATTTTCAACTTTTTTGATAAGTTGTGGCGTGGTGACCTCGGGTTGCTCGGGTCGTCATCAAGTAATACCCTTCCTTCCTTGCTTAAATTTGCGCCACTAACTCATCATGGTTTTTTCTAGACAAGAGTCGCTCTCAACCAATGGCATACCATTCATTATGGTCGCAACTAATTTTCCGACTCGAAATACGAATTTTTCCATATTTCATTTCATTGATGATTATGTTGCTTGGTTGACGTTTACTCAAAGACTAATTGTCTAATAACAATGAAACCTCGTGTTTATAGTAACTGTAAACCACTGAGCACGTTACGATCCTTATGAAGCTAAACACCCTCCTACAACCCTCTTATTCAGCAAACATAAAAACGCTCTCACGTTTGTGCTTTTTAACTTCTTAATTATTTTATTTTTGTTTAACAATATTAATTACATACATATATTCCAATGTAGCGCGGAAATGGAATCCAGATGCAGCCGAGGAAATGTTGCGCGCGGTAAGTAGAAATTAAGAAATTTGTTGTTCTAACTTTTTGAAAATTTAAGGTTAATTTTCAAAAACTTAATTTTAAAACTTGTTTGCATTATTTTTAAATATACAAACATATTATTTAGTATAATATTTTTTAAGTATTTTGGGCTTATAAAATGTCGTATAATTTATTTTCCAAAAATAAACATAAAAAACAATCGGCTTTTATTTTAAAAATAATCGATCAATCATGAATTAAAAAAGAGGAAAACAAGAAAGCTCAAAGCAATTCTGAAATATGTACACGTAGAAATGTTAATTCAAAAAACACACCGTGAATTTTTCGATAAAAAAAAATCCCAAAAACCAAATTCCAGTGACATTTGAATATTTTTTTTCCTTAAATAGAGTCTGAAGACACGCGCTATGTGGAATGTGGACAATTTGGAGAAATGGGATGTGCCGCGAGCGCTCAGAGAATATCTACCTTACGGTCTTATTGGCTATGATAATGAAGGATCGCCGGGTAGGTTGCACTTTTGTCGATCACTCGTGATTTCACGCCACTCTCTCACATTTCCTTTCAGTTATCGTCTGTCCCTTTTATAACTTCGACATTTGGGGCATGCTGCATTGCGTTACACGCTTCGACTTCCAGCGGTATTTAGTGCTACTATTGGAGCGTTTCATGCAAGCCGGCTATGAGCAGAGCAAAACTTATGGACCGCAAGCGCGTCAGTTGGTTGTCTTCCTCGATATGGCTAATTTCAATTTGAAACAATATGCTTGGCGTCCTGGTGCCGAATGTGTTTTGTCGACCGTCAAACAGTACGAGAGCAACTATCCGGAATTGCTGAAAATGTGCTATATAGTCAATGGTGAGAAGAAACAGTTGATGAGTGGCAGAAATGGAATTATTTATTTCTAAAACATTTTCGTATTTTCGCCTCTTTCTAGCACCCAAATTGTTCTCGGTTGCTTTCAATTTTGTCAAAAAATTCCTCGACGAGTATACAATGAGTAAAATAAAAATCTATAAGAATGGTTCTGATAAGTGGAAGGAGCCGTTGTTCTCTCATGTCGATCCAGATATATTTCCAAAATGTTTCGGTGGTAATTACGTCGACGAGAATGGAGATCCGGAGTGTAAATCAAAGGTTAGTTTTTTGCTCCTTTTCAAGATAAATTTTGAGATTATTTTGGAGTTTGCAAATAATCTCTGAATCGGAGAGCCTCAAAATACCAGGAATGCACTCAAAAAATATTAATTTTCCTGAGTATGAGTTCTTTCAAAGAAAGTGAAAAAGTTGAGGCTTTAATTGGATTTCATCCAAAAGTCTTTCCAGAAGCTGATTTCAGAAAATTATTTGTGTACCTTAAAAACGGTAATTATTATTTTCACTTAATTCAAAGGCGGTCTCATACCTCTATTTTCTGACCCCCATGTAAGAGCGTATGAAGTTATACATTCATTCTTCATATGATCACCTTTATTTGAATCGAACATGCCTAAACATGTCTAAACTTATATTCTGAAGCTAATATCTTACAAAGGAAATCGAACGATCTGACATTTAGAAAGCTATTTTCTACAAAATCTTGGCAGAAATTTAGATACCAATTACCGAGCACCGTCAATTAACTGTACAGTTAATCCGCAATTCGATATAGTGAAACAGGTCACTTTTCCTTTATTGTAGTTGTCATCGCTTAAGCGATTATAACCGTTGCAACAATGTCAGAACAGCCCTGGGATCTTTCTTCTATTGGGTGCCGTTTATATATACCCTCAGAGGAGTTGATATTCCATGCCGAGGAGCGACCGCAATTAGAAAGTTTATTTAAATCAAATTTCTACAACTTTTTGAATGTTAGTCCGACTCTAGGTCATCATGAGCCTTCCGAATGGGTGCCGTTTAACCTAACCAAATAAAGTGGGTTCCCTCCCAACTCCTCCACTTGTAACATCTAGTGATTCTTATAGAAGATTGCACCTTGTCTATATGGTTCTGTAACTCGTATTATAGTCTGTAACAATACTCTAAAGTCTCACGATATGGAATCATCTCACAGCCTCTTTCACTACGGTTCCCCTCAGAGAAGTCCCTCTCAATTTTGGCGGCGCTTCTGATGTTGTTCAGCGTAAGTTTAAACAGCCATATAAGTTTTAGGTAGATCTTGTTTGTTTTCATACTGCTGAAGAGAGCTTTAATATTGTTCGATCCTTTTTACACGTGTATTTTCCAAGATTCAGTTAAAGCTGAATATCTATTGTATAGATCTAGCAGCACCGTAGCCGTGCTGATATGGTCCGATCAAATCGTCGATGGTGAATTTTAACTTAACCTCGCCCAAACTGACCGATTTGTTTTTTTACCTTACGCTCCTCTTTCAGATTGTCTGGGGTGGCAAAATCCCACAGGAAATGTTTGTGGAACAAGGTATCGAGGACAATGAGAAAGACTATAGCGAAACGATAATAAACAAAGGCAATAAACTCAAACTGGATTTTAATGTTGGTGAAAAGAAACAGGAGAATTTAATATTATCATGGGACTTTCGCACCTACGACTATGACATCAAATTCGGCATATACAGTATTGATAAACTAACGGGTGACAAGCGTAGCGAGGTAGCGCTGGGCACGGTATACTCCAATGAAATGGATGAAGTGGGTTTTATCTCAACAAGACCGAATACAACATGTAAGTAACTGAAATTGTACTATTATAAAAAAAAATATTTATATATATGCAAATATATGATTATAATAAAATCTTCATTACAGATACCGTAGTTTTCGACAACTCACACAGTTACCTACGCAGTAAACGTTTACGTTATTGTGTGAATTTAATCTCAGAAATTGATGATATCACTGAACTTTCAGCGCAAGTGCAACAAACTGCGATAGTCGGCAAAAATGACGAGTAAAATCGAAAAGTTTATGGAGGCGTAAATATAAGATTGAAGAAATAATTTAAAATAAAAAGGGCAGAAGGCAATCAATAAGCGCAAAAAGTCGGCAATAATGTGATAACCACATATAAATATGTACTTAAAATCATAAATAAATGCAAACCGAACCAAATATGCAGACGGATTTCAGGCATAGAATATCAAGTCATACTGTACTATTGTATCAAATATTGTAAGCCAAATAAAAACTAAAAAAAAAAAATTGAAATAAAAACGTTTAAAATTAACTTACAAACCCCTCAAAAATTGTTGTTAAGGAAAAACTTAAGCTTACATATATATATATATATATATATATATATATATATATATATATATATATATATATATATATATATATTTATATTTAATAAATAAATAAATAAATACTTAAAGTTATTTTGGTAGTTTTAGTGGGTATTTTCGGTGTTAACTGTAAATTTTCTAGTTATATTAAAACACATTTGTGATACTTTTTTTTAATATCCAATCTTCTATATTTAGCACTTTAGTTTTGTATTTGAAGAAAAAAAAATTGCAGCTGTATTTGTAACTCTTTATATATGTATATAATTCAGCAATCTTAATAAATATATTTTTCCGCCAAAGCAATTTGTATCTATAATTTATTTTTAGACATTCAGTTATTATTAGTATTTATTATAATTCTTCTTTTTTTTTGTTTAGTACAAAAAGTCATTGACATACAAATTTGTCCAAAATAAATAAATATATAGCAGAATTTCGGTTGCTGTTAAAGCCCGGTCATTTTGTGTCCCATCAGTTTTGAAATTGCAAAGTTGGTGTAAACTTTGCGTTTTAATTGCCGCCAGCACTGCCAGCACAGTTGTTATTCTTGTTTACCGTGCGGCGTTTGCGCCTTCATCACTGCGGACCTTGGTTTTGTGTCATCTGCGGGTAACCGGGACCCACCGGTGACGGACCCATTTGGCCCATTTGTTGCATTGGCGAATGCATCATAGGATTCGGACTTGAACCGACGACTTGACCGACTGGCGGGCCGATATTCTAATGAGGAAGAAATGTAAAATTATTATAAACATAATGTTTTTGAAATAAATTTCAAGTTAAAACTTACCTGATTGGGTGGCGGCACATCGTTGGGCAGTTGCAGGTTGGTTAACAAGTCCAATACTGCGGGAAATAGCGAGCACTGTCCGTGTTGCACATTAAATTCGGTAAAGCGACGCAACAAAACACTTGCCGCATTCATCGCTGGCGATTGCACCTGCTCACGTCGCTCAACCAACTGCGTTATATTCGAAGTCAAATCGTAAACCATGGGCAAGAGCAATGATGGGCTGTCCTTCCACTCCTTACCCTTATATGGTATACGAGTAATTTGTAACTGCAAGAAAATAAGATAATTACACATGCCAGCTTCCCCTCTAAAACCAACAATCTGACTTACGAAAAAGAGTATCTTTAATTTGCATATATAGATGCCGGGCGTTCCGATTGGTATTATCGCTGCCGACGGTGGCACACGCATACAGAATTGCAATGCCCACTTCAGTTGATCGCCCATCACCTCAGGCTTCAGATCGAGTCGCATAATTTGGACGAAATCCTTGAGAACTTGGCCCGGGCAGCTGAGCACACGACAGAAGGCGGTCATTGCATTCGGCCTGTACGGTGGCGATACAACTCGCAAATCAAAGAACTGCTCCAATACCAGCAAATCATCGGCGCTCAGTTGGAATGGTTGTTTGCCATCTGGAGTTGGTGGTGTGGGTAAATGCTGTGCCTTCAAATGCAGTGACTCCATATGCACCTGATTGAGCATAACTTGAAACTGTAAGCCATCCACCTTAAATAGCACCATGCCGGGTTCATTAGAATTGAGTGGCGTAATCGATTCGTCACCTTGTATGTGACGCTGTAGCATGCGACGCATAAACACGCAACCCAAAAAGCGCTCCAATGGACTAATTTCCGGACCAGTAATATCTTTATTAGGGTGGGGACTTGGTCGACAAAGCGTCTCCAAAGCTTCATGTGTCAGCAGCGTTGGCACGGCGCCAGCCCAAGAACGATTCGACGGCACGCGCGACATTGCAGACGAAGTGCCGGTGTTGCCTGTCGAGGAGCCACTAGGCTTATGCTCAGGACTTTGTCCAGGACGTGGTGATGGACGCGGCATACTGGGTGAACCTGGCCAATTCGTGTTTGCCGGCGACATTGCTGTGAAGGGCGAGTCTTGGTGGCCTTGCATATACAATGTATTCGGTCCGGGGCTGTGCGCCATGTGCGGACTTGGTTGTGGATTGAGTGGTGATGATGGCATAAGGCCGCCGGGTGATGGATGTGGCATGTGATGTGCAGGTGGCGAAGTTAAATTGAAGTTTGGATGATTCTGGTTGCTGCCACCACCACTGTTCGCTGAGGGATGTGGACTGGCCGGAGTGTGAGGATTTGAGCTTGAAGGTGGCGTATGTGGTGCTGGGAAACGTAAACCGCTATCACGTGGTGACTGTGGACCACGCATGCCACCACTTGTGAACGGAGATGAACCACCAGCGCCGGCGCCAGACACACTGCCAGGACCACTGTAATTGTCTTCCATGCCCAAAGGAGATGGCGGATTATCATCCTCGCTTTGTGAACGTCCACGGTAAACCGCATTCTCATCGACGTGCTTCAATAGAAAGCCCTATAAATTCAAGGGAGATTATGAATACTTAAAACGAACTCATAATAAGGAAATAATTTATTTAATTATTTTTCTTGGTCGAATCAATTTTTATCAGGAATTTTTTTTATATCGGAAATACATTCATAGTGGTTCACATTCAATGTTGGAAGTGACCGCGATTAAAAATATTAATTGTATGCTAAAGTACTTACCTTTAAGCCTTGTATTGGCGTAAATTCGTCAATTAAATTACGATCAAAACGTGAGTATGCGCCATCTCGAATCGACGCCAGTCGACCGCTGCGCATGCGTATCTCCAAACAGTAAATAGCTTGGTATGTCAAACGAATAAGACACGGAGATTGTGGTAAGATGCAGAAAGACAAAATAGGTACTTGCGGTCGCTGAAAAATTTACCTTTAAAGTAGAAACAAAAACGTACAAATTGTAAAGTGGCTTACCGGTATTCCCAGCAGCGGTATTATAGGCAACTTAGAAATCGAACTCAACGGATTGTAGGTTTCATGCAATATTTGCACGACTTGTGTTAGATTAAGCTGACGATTCAAATGCGAGGCCAACTGATCGCGCATCATCGAGTGCGCATTCACTGCCGATATACCACCAACATAGACGAGACGAAAACCATGCGTTTGTGCACACCAATAAATATTGCATGTGACTTCCTTTTTAGGTCCATATCCCAATAACAGATTCAAATAATTATACGATTTTACACTGACCATATCAGCGAGATTTAGACGTTCTGAAATGGTATGAATTAATAATGGATTTCTTTCAACTTAGCACAGGTACTTACTATTCTTTACATGCTCTGAAAAATTGAATACCAAATTATAAAGATATACTATTTTAGACCAATCGCGCAACAATTCATCTACTGTTTTTACAAAATCATGATTGGCTTGTTCGTATGCCAAGTAAACAGTGCGACGATTGCCCTGTTCTTTTTGATGGGTGCTTTGCAGAGGAGTACTGTAGAAAACGAACTCCACACCCCAATTGCGTATTTGATTAGACTTATTCATTTGTGAACGCACTGATATGGAAAGTAAACGCTTCATTAGATCATTCATAACAGTTTTTTCAATTGTTGGCAGTGTAACGCCAGTAGGATTTTGCTGCAAACGAGAATTGGGATTTTAGTTTAATTCATTCTTAGAAAAGCAAAAAAACAAAAAATATGCATTTCTGATGTACTTTTTGATCTTGTGTCTGCTGTGTCGGCATGGGTAGTGACAGTATTTTCAACACTAACGATGCAGCATTTGCTTCCACCTGCAGTCCACTGTGCGGTATCTCACGTCGCGATAATTCTTGTGCTAAATTCAAGAATGGTATTTTTTCATCGCACATCGCAATAACATGTGCTAGCTCTGGTATAAAGTAAGCTGGATAAATGGTCTTTTGTTGCTTGGCTGGTGGCCCTAGATCGCCGGTTGATTTTCGCTTATGCGGTGGTAATTCTTATCGTGAAAAATTAAACATAAATTAATAGGTATAATGAAAAGTTTAAAGTATATATATAGTTGAATACCATCCACATCTGTGCCTGGTCCGTGTGTGGCTACAAACGTATCAAATTCAATTAGGCGCAATAATTTCGTATACACTTTGGGTACTTCGGCGCTTACAGTGGGTGGATGTGATGGTGGATGTGAGCTGGAAACCAAACGTGTATTCTGGGACTCCTCTGCTGTGATATCAGTTTCAGTAGTCTGATATGCGACAAACCCTAAATGGAAAGTATATTCCATTTCGTTAGGCGTATTGGCCTTCTCCTTCAACTGAACTACCTAAAGGTTAGATGTAGAAAAATTATTTGTATTATTTATCTTGGCATATACATATTACTTAACAACCACTTACAATAATAACATTTGGATGACGATGAAGTTTTACATAAACTTTATGACGGCCTGGCTGCATAAGTGGATTATCGGGTAGGGTTAGGAAGGGTAGTGTCTCCGTAGTGGCGGCTGGTAAATGTTGTAGAGTTTTCTCACAGCGCCGATGAGTTATCCAAAACCTATAAGTAATAAATTATATATCTAAATCCTCTGCATTCCTCTCTTCCTTCTTACCTTAGTTCCGACATGATTTGTTGCAATTTACTTCTGTCACCATTCAAACACGTTTGCATTTCAGGCATAATGGGACAATCCAAATGTTTTGGCACATGACACCTTAACATACCGGTGTGTGTATCAATTGTTATATGTACTTGTTCAGCACGCAAACAAGGCGACAGGACTGGCACTGTCAAGATAGCTGGTGTTCCTTGTAAATTAACTGTAAAATATTATAATGAAAGTAAAATTTAACCCACATCAGTTATATTACGATAATTTTTCACGAAATTACACTCACAATCAACGTCTTTTAAAAATGATTGAAACTCTAATTTCAAATCATTGAGCCTTGAAACAGATCGTATATATACGGTGTACACGATTAGGCGTTCCATTGAAAGATGATCGGAACGTACCGCGCGATCAGCAACCTCTGCAGACTCTTTTGCACCTAATGATGGCACATGTACCACAGCTAGCGGGCGTCCTATTTCATTGGGATCAGATTGTACTGTTAAACGATAGCCCAGCTCAGATTTGGAGTCCTTACTAGTGAGCTCTCGCCAATACGAAACTGTTATTTTCACGCCTGGTACATATTCCTCGACGTTAATATTATCATCTAACCGTTCATAGCTCAGACGAAGTGTTTGCGTATAAAGCACTTCAAGTTGAAGCGATTGGCAAAAATAGTGCAGACAATTATATACTTCGCTTAGTGCGTTCGGATTCTCTACCAATCGAGCTTGTATAAGTTGATGAATATAATTTACTTGAAGCTGGTGTACCAAAGCTTTGCCATCTATTGAGCAAAATTTAAGTATACACAAAAATAAAAACAAATAATATGCTGTACCTCCAGTTTCTTTATCTTCAACAAGTATGTCTATATCTAGAAGCCGCCACGGCACATTGTTGCCATCACCCATAACGGTCAAGGAGACGTTGAATTCATGCTTGATTTCAAATGTTACACGCCCATTTTTAATCTGTTTGGAGAAAAATTTTAACTCATATTTTCTTTAACTTAAAATTACACTTACTTTAAATTCTCTCATTTGTGGCATTAATTTGCCAGTAACTAAACGGTGCTGAATCACTTGATTTAGTCTTAAAAGTGTTTGCTTCTTTTCTGCCGGGGTAATTGGATCTGGTGGCACAATTCGCTCCCGTATACATGTAGGAAGACGGTTGTATGTACCTGTTGTGAGTACTTCCACTGCAGCAGGTATATGAAAGTTCGGAAGACGCGCACGTATTAAAGTTTCACGGGACATGCGGGCCAACATATCTGCTGTTTCTATAAAAAGCATATTTTGCTTGTCCAGGAAACTCATAATATTCTTAAAAGAGACACAAAAAATATTAATGAATATAATATAAATATCATGGATTGTAAAAAAAAATTATATGTGTGTAATTATTGTATGTATGCTTACTGCCGATTTATCCACTTTCGACACAGAATTAGCCCATTTGACCAAAGCAATAAGACGTATAAAAAGCTGCCGGGTACGAGCAGAAAAATTATAAATTTCAATTTTCCGCTCCATGTCGGTTTTCCGGGGTAACCTAAAAATAGAAATTAATACAGTTTAGTTATGAAAAATGCTTGTACTCAAAACTCTTATGCTATTATTATATATTACACTCATATATTTATACTATTTACATGGGTATAGGAAGGTTACTTACAATTCAGCGAGCACTGTGAGATCATGGTACGTTCTTTGTATTATAAAGTCAATTAGTACTGCGAGTGAAATTGTATTCATACGTGGGCCGCCCTCTTGTCCGGAAGGCAGGTAACCGGCCATCGGACCTTGAAACTTTCCTTCCAAGGGCTGGGGTGCCGGTGCCATATTGTGTGAAAGTCGGTGTGCACAAATTAGAATTATGCACTTGATATTATTATTACTAAACGCTTTTCCCTTATCTTTTAAAAAATGATTGCTTTACAAAACCAAAAACCACTAAATTGCAAAAATTAGTCTTATATTTTTTGCATTGTCAACTTTACAAAATAAAAAATATTATCACTTAACATATTAACATTTTTTTTTTCAGAGGAAGAGAACAAATTTTTATTTATGTTTGAGATTATCACATTATTTTTATGCAATTTCTACCTTAAAAATTAATTATTTTTTCGACTAAGTGAGATTTTCACAAGACGCGATTAAAAGAAAAATATGCGACACGCTGAAACGTCAAAAGTCTCAAAACACAAACAGGTTGCCAGAAAACTTTATTTGATGATTTCCTAAATCGAGTCCATTAATTCCTTTTACAATTTCTCAATTGAGAAGAATTTAACTAACGTTTAATAAATAATTATCAAATCCCTGTACTATATACGAAGACTTATTTTACAATTCTAACACTTTATTATATACAAACACATTGGTGTGAAGTGAAAATAATGGAGTGTAAACAATTTTCTTTATTGACAGCACCAAAGGCAACAGCTGGATTACATTACAAAATTTTAGGTTTGGCATTTGTGTCCATTTCTGTGTTTTTACTTGCGAAATAACTTGGACAATATTGTCCACGCAACTTTTTTGTTCGTTTAGTTTCGCTGTAGTAAACTGTTTTTATTAAATTGAAGTTTTATGAAGTGACCTAACTTTGTTGTAGCAATGGGTTTTCTGAGTTACGTGTTTGGTCCGAAATTATACCAGGAATATGGCTTGGAGAAGGTATATTATACATACTGAATTTTTTTCTAGCTATACTATAAACAACAAGATTATTTTTTTTTACTGGATTTCAGAAGTTTTATGAACCTAGTGGCTTGGAACGAGTTAGTGATCAAATAATAACCACAGTAAGTATTTAAACTAAATTCTCGCACAATTATGTATTTTCTTAAATGTAAACCTTTGTAGGTAATTTGCATATACAAACTTTGAACTTTTTACTTATTTTAACTTTTTTGACAGCTTTCATTAATGTGGAATATTAGTTATTATACATCTCCGCTTATAGTAACTTTCTTGTACAAAAGGGGCTATTTAGTGACAGATTCAATATCTTCATTCGTAAAGTTTTCTACTAGTATTGGTATTATTGTTGTAATTACACTATGTATCCGTGGTTTTGGACGTTCCCAATCCAAACAATATGTAAAAATGATCAAAGCGATTGAAATGACCAAAATATCTAACAACGACGAAGAAGCAAAGCGTGCTCTACGTAAGTTCGATTTTGATTTCCAATCGTGGCAGGTAGACTTCGACGCAAGTAGCGTGCAAGGGTAAGAAAACTTGAAAAAGAAGCAAGTAAGCAGTTAAAATAATATTGTTTTTTTCTTATTCTTGATTTTTTAGGGACGAAAAGAAAAGACAATTATCTACCAGTAGCCGTGAAACACGTCAGTTCAGGCTCGCTACTTTACCATGCAAGCTCGCCGCTTATGTTGCGATACACACTTTTGGTATACGAATGATATACCCTGGATATATAAAGCTATTGCAAAATTACTTAAGTAACTTATAATATTCTCTCATTCATAAAACCCAGTTCATAACATTGTTTTTAAATCTTATATAGATACCTTCTTGATAGAAGGTAGGGCTAAACTGGTAGAAGAACACAAGGCTTTACGTTATAAAGTTAAAACTGTAGACCGTAATGAAATCGATACTATTTTTGTTGACAATCGACAAAATGGTAGTGCAAATGGAAATATATTGGTAATTTGTTCTGAAGGTGTGTGGCATTATTTTCACTTAACTTATTATTTAAATTCGCAAATACTTATGTATGTACATATGCCACTTAAAAGGTAATGCCGCTTACTATGAAATCGGCATAATGTCCACACCGCTCTCATTGAAATATTCTGTGATGGGCTGGAACCATCCTGGATTCGCTGGCAGCACTGGCGCACCATATCCCCAACAGGATAAAAATGCAATTGATGCTGTAGTCCAATTTGCTATTCATCGTCTTGGATTCGCTGTTGAAGATATAATTTTATATGGTTGGAGCATTGGAGGAGTTAGTGCTTTGTGGGCGTCAAATCTATATCCGGACGTGAAAGGAGTGGTTGGACTTATTGTTTAATATTAAAACTTGGATATGAATACATTTCTATTTATGCAGATTTTGGATGCTACTTTCGACGATATTTTATATCTGGCTCTATCGCGAATGCCTGAAAGTCTTTCTGGTATAGTTAGACTAGCTATACGGGATTATTGCAATTTGAATAATGTGGATTCCATACAAAACTACAATGGGCCAATCATGCTTATACGCCGTACAGAAGATGAAATTATTTCAGAGTGTGTATACTATATTTAATATTATTTTTTTTTTTTGTTTGCATTATTTTTCTCCCATTAGGGATAATCGCATTAACACCAATCGTGGCAACTATCTAGCATTAACTTTGCTCAAGTTTCGGTATCCATTAATATTTAAAACAACTCAGCTACAACGTATTAAGAAAATCTTGTCGCGACCAGTGGATCCAAAGAATTTTTCAAGTAATGTACCTATGCAAATATGCATATATATTCTTTAGTGCATTTCATTTCAAATTTATATTAATTTCTTCAGCGACCAACGATGACCTTTGCATGTCTCGACTTATTACTTATGCATCTGATCAGGGAAAATCGTTCCCGATGCTAATTGGCGAAGACTACACTGAAGAAACGCGTGATCAAATGGCTGAATTTTTAGTAATTACACAAGACAATAACTCTTCGGTAAAAGTACTAAATATTTCTTATTTCTATCTTTTAGTTAAGAAAACATTTCCGAGATTACAAGTCAACACATTGCACCCCATTACCTAAAGATTACTTTGACATTCCTTGGGACATTCCCATTGAAAATGGCTTTGTATTTACCTAATTAATTTCAATAACGGGCGGTAGCTGTGACTGATGCAAGCAAATTCATTGATTGTTCACGGAGACAGCCAAAAATGAAAAAATATGAAAATATTTTGATGAGTAATTATTAATAGACATTAGATATGTATTGGTTTGCATATGACAAGTGACCATGCATTTAGTTTCCATTTTTTTATTATTTTCGTAAATATTTAAACGAATTTAACTGTGGGTCTCTGTATGGAAAATAAAAAGGAAAATGACATTAAATAATGTTAACGAATAAAAAAATATACAATGTACAAGTAATACCTAATCAAATGACAAAAACAAAGAATTTGAAAAAAAAATATGAAATTCGGTTTAAAGCTATTTACGCAACATTTTTATTTGCAACGTATTTTTTGTCTTCAAATTTTGCAAACCTTAAATGAAAACTAGAAACGTGTACTTGTGGATGTTTGTATTTTCGGTAGTATCTTTTATTAACTGTATTTCAAGTAATGGTATTATTGAAGGCCTTATAAATAGTTTTTCGAGCATAGCAGAGGTATTATTCTATTCTATACATTCAATTCAGTAAGTATTTTTAATAGAAATTTCTAATCAATATCAAGGACGATGAGTGTGATCAACCGGATTTGTGTGATGAAATGCAAATAATGTTACATCTAGCTTGCATTCGTATAACAAGTCCTGAACGGATATTACTTTTACTCACCTGGGACTCGTTGCCTGCTGCTTGTGATAAAACTGCATCTGTTTTAGGGCACATAAATGACACTTTAACAGATTGTACACCTCTGCAAACAAATAATTTATATATGAGGTTATATAAAGCATTGGTATTCTTCCAAGGACAAATGTGTACCATGGCGGAAACAAAGTCGAAACGTTGGTAAACCTACATGGTATCCATTGATAGAAAACTAGCTAACAGCAAATATTCTTCACAAACTTTTCTCTTGATAATACAGATATGGAAAAATATCGCAGTTGCATATCAGAACTTCGTGATGATCTCATCGATTGCGAAGGTCCTGCCGATTGGTTTGAGAAACGTAGTAAAACATATGTGTGCAGGTGATTTCGTAGAGTATATGTATTCACTTGAGATTTAAGCAAATAGTCTGAAATGTTTTTATTATGTAGGCAATTTACCGAAATAATTAACTGTGATTATATAAGAGCCGCGTTGTTATGTGGTCTTAAGCCTGCACGAATGCTACGAAGTTTTGCGGCCGAGGTTATAAATAAAGCGTTAGTGGTAAGTTGTCTTATTTAAATATCGAACAAATTTTTATTTCAAAAACTTGTAGTCAAAGTGCTTGGTTTCGTCCACATTGCCTCATGTACATAATCCAATGTCGGATGTTGGCAGTAGAGTTCCTAATAATGTTATCGTTTGTATTTATATATTTCTACTAGCTTGTATGTTACAATATTTTATGTAATAAAGCAAATATTATTACAGTTAAAAAATATTTCCATTGTAGTTGTATTTCTATGATTTCTTTTTTGAGCTACCAAACCCAGAAAATCCCATTATTGCCGCCATATCGTCGGTCAAACCTCCACCTCCCAGGGGATCTGTGTCGCTAGCTTTTCTTTTGCGCTCTTTTCGTTTCTCTTTTCGATGCTCCTTGTATCGCTCTTCTTCCTCTTTGGCTTCACGCAGACGTCGTTCGAGCTCATAGTCTTTTTGTTTTTCTTCCATCTTCTTTTTATTAGCTTGGAAACGTTCTTTCACTTGATCAACTGTGCTTCGCTCCACTTTCATGGACATACCCAAATTACGTTGATGTTTTTTTCCATTGATATGATCAAGGAAGTTAATTGAATCTTTAACAACACAATCGCACACATTGCAATAGTATCCACCAGATTGTGAGGTAGGGGTGTTCTTGTTTATTACAACGCTTTTTCCGAGTTTGCTGTCGAGATCTACTTTATAGTCTCGTCGCTTTAAATTTTCTCTTTGTACGGGCTCTGGAAGTTTTTAAACAATGTTAATGATTGATGAATTTTATTTAATATATAATTTCGACTGGATATAACAATATAACCTTCATCCTTTTGATTTGCCTTGGCTTGAGACTGTAGCCGTTCCTGTGCCAGACGCTGGTATTCGGTTTTATCCCACTTTCGGCGATGGTCATCTGGTCGCATTGACATTGTAAACAAAATTCTAAATACACTATCTTTTTTGACAAACGCGATCACCATAAAAATTATTACGAATTAAAAAGATTGTAAACAATACTCAACAATTTCCTCCTACTCCGCTTTTATCTTCCACATAATAGGGGTTCTGTGCGGCGTAATTTTTTAATACCAGGCTTGCACAAATCATCACTACCAGAATAAGGGCATAATGATATTTAAAAATATAATACTTTTTCAATTCTAAGATATACACTTATAAAATATACACTAAATAATTTTAGTAGTAGTAAAAATCAAAGTCAGATATTGCGAAATGTTTGGTCTTATATTTCCAAGTCCATTCTCTTCAAAATGTACCTGAAAATGCAACCCTATTGAGATATTTAGTAAAGCGGTAATGGTGTGATAAAGTACTTGCATTGAAAGAAAGAATAATATTTAATAAAGAGGACCAACCCAAAAACAAAGTGACTACAAACCCGCATATGTATTTACATTCATAAGTATTAGAAGAATTCTATTTATTATTGCGGCAAGTAAGAGAGGGGCTTAAGACTTTATTAGCATAGAGTGGTTGTGAGTTAATCATTTAATATCGCAGAAAAGGTGCATCACATCATCACGATAGCGGCTACAATTGGAAAAATCTAATATTAGGGATTACAATGGGTTGTGCAGAAAGTAAGGATGGAGAAGAGCCCCAAGAAAACCGACCGAAATACCGGACATGCACTGATACATTCTGGCTTGCAATTTTCATACTATTTTGGTTATTTTTGGTGAGTAATTGTTCAAATATATTACCTAATTGTTCAGCTAATGCATTTCAAAAGTGAAAGCGCTTTATTTTTCAATTATGCATACATACATATGTACATATACTATTATTTTGTACATATGTGTATACTTTTAAACATGAATGCATGGCGTCATTGTTTTACCTATTGTATTTTTTTATTTTATAAATCCAATTATCATTTACGCAATTAATTGCACCTTATTTGAATTAAATTGATAAATATATTAATACTTAATTTTATCTGTTGAGTCGGTACCTATGTATGTTCATATGAATAAAAAATCTCCATAGAGTTGAGCTCAAATACTTCAAGCATATGAATATACATAAGTATGTACTTTCATCCATACATACATAAGTTCGAATAATTATTATATGTATATTAGTAAAATTAACTTGGAGCACTTAACATCTCATTGTTACCACCCACTCATTTGTGGCTTAAAAGTGGGTTACTGATGATAAGTTTGTCATCTCGCAGGTATGCGGTCGTATAAATTATACTGGCAAGCAAAAAAACAGTTGCGAGTAACTAGAAAAATTCGATTAAAATAAAATAAAAGTGTAATATCGCTGGTCAAAGGTTTCAGATGTAAACATTTTATATTACAAACATTCTAACGTGTCGTTTCCGTTGTTACTGTTGCACATTTTTAAAAGTTTTTTCTCTTGCATGGATTTGAAACACTAACAGACATTTAATTTTGTTAACCAGTGTTATTGGAATTAGCATTTTTATATACTATTTTAATGTAAGTTTTTAATTAATTATATGTTGGAGATTTATAATATAAATTTAACATTAATTATGATATTTTCAGATTGTAATAGCAATATTTTCTTTTGTTTACGGCAATCCATTAAGAGTAATTAACGGTTATGACTCATTCGGAAATACCTGTGGGGTTAAGCGTAACGAAAAGTTTTCAACTATACCAAATTCGGGCATGAATACAATTGATAAGCCACAACTTTTCTATTTCGACTACAAAAATCCTCGTCAATCCATTAAAATATGTGTTAAAGAATGTCCTTCACGAAATATTAATAGTAAAACCGACCTTCACAAATATTACATGGATACAGGAACAAATCTTTGTCGTTATGATTTCAATATGGATTCCCTACTTGATACAAATAACAAAAACATTGATGAATATTTTAATTTCTTGGGACCATGTCCAAAACTTCCGATCTATGAAGAGTAAGTAAAATTTGTGATTTTTATTTTTGAAAATTACAAAAAAAAAAAAAAACTTGTTTTAGGTCGCCAGTTTTACATCGTTGTATGCCGAAAGGTAGAAATGCTACTGAACTTTACAACTTGCTCAATTCATGGGATGTTGCTCAACAATTTTTGGGTGATATATATTCCACTTGGCATATTATTGCTATCATATGCGGCATTTCATTATGTAAGATTAGTAAATAGAAGAAAAATGTAATTTATAAAACCATTTTAATTACAAATATGATGTATTTAATTACTTTACTAGTAATATCAATTGCACTTGTAACACTCATGCACTGGATGTCGCGCATTATATCCTGGCTTATCTGTGTGCTGGTTATTGTGGCCAGTTTGGCTTTAACCGCAGCGCTGTGGTATGCATATTATAGTATACGCAACAAATCGCGTCTAAATGCACAATATTCTATGTTAGAAGAATTTATACGAAATGAAGACGCTGTCTACATCCTCGCTATATTAGCCACTATAACTTTGGTGAGTTAGTACAATCGTACCTATAATAACTTTAGAATTACCTTATAATAATTCCTACAATGTATTTAAATATAATTACAGATAGTCTTAGTGGTTATTATTTACTTCCTTAAGAACAAGTTGTCTGGCTTGTCGGCTCTTTTTGAAGAGGCTGGAGTTTGTATGATGAACTTACCGGGCTTAATAATTGCACCTCTACTAGCATTTGCCGTATTGGCTGTGTTTTTAGCCTTTTGGGTGTTGGTAGTTATTTGTATTGTTACCGCTAGTGCACCGGGACAGAGTCCCATAGCACCGTTCGACAACACAGCATCCCAACAATTGCCTCCTCCTGCCGGCCTTGCTCCACCGAAGAATACCTCAGAAATCAACTTTAGAAGTAAGTTTTACGTTTAAAAGCGCTATAACAAGAACAATACATGGGAATATATAAATACATACGTATGTACATATGTATATGTAATATGTATTTTGAATTTTTAATTTAGTTTATTGCTAAAAAATTGTATTTGTGAAATTGTCAGTCCTTATGTATCTGTATTTGTGTTTCCGTTCCAATATGCTTGGTTTCCCCCTTTGGTAAAATTGTGCATTCGTATGTAAATTAAATTGTTCAAAAATGTAAGTGGCTCGAGTTTCAAAAACTTAATAGTTTCTTTATTAGAAATATCCATTGAAAATACATATATACATTTATTATGCTCCAACTAATTATATGTTTTATGTCCTTACAGCAATATTGCGCGTAGAATACACAGATGCCAAGGCTATCCGCAGCATGTTTTGGATTTATGTAATTGGTCTTATTTGGACGACTGAATTTATTTTTGCTTGCCAGCAATTTGCACTTGCTGCAGCTGTTGCTTTTTGGTATTTCCAAAAGCCTACTTCCACTCCTACCACATACGCAATCGGGAAACTGCTTAAATATCATTTGGGCACCGTTGCTAAGGGTTCATTTGTGATAACTGTTTTCAAAATTCCAAGGCTTATACTGACTTACCTTTATGCTAAGTAAGTGTACATGAAAAGATGTTTAACTTCCTATTTACAATAGAATCACCGAATAACTAAAAATTAAATTTCAATTATATATTCATACATATGTAAATCGTTAAAATAAATATTCTTTTATTCCACGTAGATTCAAGAAAGGTGCTGATAAAGGCTCTGAATGCGCCGATTGCTGTCTTAAGTGCTGTATTTGCGGTTTTTGGTTGTTGGAAAAATTCATACGCTTCTTAAATCATAACGCTTATACAGTTGTAGCTATTGAATCAATAAATTTCTGCCCAGCAGCAGGCATTGTAAGTTGATATTGATACATTTGGATATATATATAGCGTAACACTAAACTTATCTGACATACTGAATTTTAGGCTTGGAATGCTATGGCAACTAATGCGCTTCAAGTGGCAACCATTAACAGTGTTGGCGACTTTATACTCTTTCTGGGAAAGGTTATTGTAGCAGCACTTAGTGGTCTTATTGGTATCTTTGTACTAAAGGATCGTCCGGGACTGAATTTCTATATGGCGCCGGTGATCATTATAATCATTTTCTCATTTTTCATAGCGCACATAATTCTGACTCTTTTTGAGGTAACCGTTTTTTTTTTACTTTAAAATTTACAATAGCCATACAAAAATACATATGTATGTTTATTAAAATATTTATTGGCAGATGGTAGTTGACACCCTATTTTTATGTGTTTGTGAGGATAAAACTATAAATGGCCGTGGCGGCCGATGGGCACAAAGTAATCTAGCCAAATTAGTTGGCGAAGAACCATTACAACCTGGTGAAGAGCCCCCCATACAAGTTGTAGAAATGATGCCCATTAATAAAGAACCCTTCAGCATGACAAGATTGCCTCGCAGAGATGTCGTTGATGGTGTGACAGAATAAAATACATAAATGATGAGCTCCGTCATCAGTCATTACCACCAATAAAGGCCTTCAGCATGACTAGATATTAAAGCTAGTGGGTAGTGGAGAAATTCGAAAGACAAGTGAAGCGATACTTTTAAAAGCAGCACCTCGAAGCAGCCATTTAAGATCAATAAAGTAATAACTTAAGATATTTATAAACTTAAAATTTTTTCTGTATTTTTGTACGTTGTCCAGTTTAGTTAACTGAAATACTATTTAAATAAGATGAAAACCTTAATAAAACGATATGAATACATACCCTAGCTCCTAAAACGATTCATATATGCATATGTAGGTATGCCATCAAAATAAGAAACATTCAAAAGTTAATGTACTACATTATTCTATTGTTAAATGTTTTAATATTCCATACGCACAAAATTCATATGTATTATAAAAATATCTTTGAACAAAAGATAATAAGCGTGTATAACTCATTCGTACAAAACTACATTTTTTAATAATAATCAATGTTTTATTATCGTATACACATAAAAATATAGATATCTATTTAATTATTTTTTCTTCAAAACCTTTGTTTTCTTTTTCGCAATAAGTTCAACAGCTGCCTTCAATTGTTTTTCTTTGATTTTCTTCGTCAATGCAGCTTTAGATGACTTTTCTTTGCTGGGGTCAACAATTGCTTTTCTCTTAGCTTTTTCTGCAAAATCATAAAGGAACAGGAGATCAGTACAAAATTTAAAAATTTATAAAAAAAAATTAAAAATTATAAAAAAATAAAAAAAAATATAAATACAAAATCATAGAGGAACGGGAGATCAGTAAAAAACTACAAAAATGTTAGAAGAAAAAAAATTATAAAAAAAGCTGAAAAAAAATTAAATACAGAAATTATAAAATAAATAAAAAATTATCATAAAAAAATAAAAAAAATACAAAAAAAATTATAAAAAATAAAAAATTAATATAAAAAAAATATATAAAAAAAAAAAAAAATATAAAATAATAAAAATATGAATAAAAGATATTATAAATACAAAATCATAAAGGAAAGGGAGATCAATACAAAATTATAAAAAACTTAAAAGAAAAAATTTTTTTAAAACTAATAAAAATATAAAAATTATAAAAAATAAAAAAAAAAATATTAAAAAAAATTATAAATGCAAAATTATTAAGGAACGGGAGATCAGTACAAAATTATAAAAAAATTTAAAAGAAAAAATTATAAAAAAATAAAAAAAAAATTATAAAAAAATAATAAAAAAAAAATTATAAAAAAAATTATAAATGCAAAATCATAAAGGAACGGGAGATCAGTACAAAATCATAAAAAAGTTAAAAGAAAAAATAATAAAAAAAGTTAAAGGAAAAAATAATGAAAAAAGTTAAAAGGAAAAATAATAAAAAAATATAAAAAAAAAATAAAAAAAATTATGAAAAAGTAAAAAAAAAAATTATAAAAAAAATAATTAAAAAAAAAAAATATAAAAAGAATATAAAAAATTAATAAAAAAAATACATGAACAGTCACTTACCAGCTAATAATTTAGCTGTGGTTATCGCATCTTCATTTTCAAATAACTCTTCATACTCCAAGCCTTCATAAGCTTCCGTCGGCCTATTAACTTCTTGCTGTACTTTCTGCTCTACACGGTTTACATATCTCTCCTTAGCAGCTTTCTTTAACATTTGTCGTTGACGCGATGGACTTACATAATTTGGATTTTCCCAAATCGCCTTGCCTGTAAATGATCCTTCAAATATTTTAACAGGATTCATTACAAACCTTGGTCCGATTTCTGCCAAACCACCGTCTTCTGAGAGAATTTGAAAGTTTCGGAACCATATACGATGATCCAAATAAGTAAAAGTATAGACGTGATCAATAAATGGCTGACTTTTTGGATGATGATTAGGCACACCGAATGTTTGAGTAAATAACTCTTTTAACAACTTTAAATACGGAACTTCGTCGAACTTAGCGTCAAACGATAAAAGTGGCCTCGAGCCACGCAAACAATTGCCTGTCATTTTCAGTTCTGCCATTGTGTGAATATTTTCTATAAGAAACTTTGCTGAAGGTCCTACTGACGCACTAGCCATCCACATATATAAATCGCGTTTACGTCTGCCTTCAAAAAGTATTGTTTTATTGCAGTGCTTCATTTCACACATCTCATTAATAACAGAAAGTGTTTTAGAACGTTCCATTTTAGATTCAGGTCGATGGTGAGGCATTAAACTTTTTATATCACGCAACAAATGACGATCTCGATGATTTATTCCTCTTGCAGCGAATACCAATACACGTTGCTTATTGATCCATTTTTCCTATAAAACAGAATGCACGTTCAAAAATTGGTTTTCATAAAATGTGATGATTCTTACTCTCTTGGGCACTACATCTTCTGAAGTTCTTTGGGGTGGAAGTGGGAGATTTTCGTCCTTTGGCACAATCTCAAGTTGCTGTACATTTTTCTTACTTTTAATCTTTCGACCCATTGCTTTCAAGGAACTATGAAGTATGAAAAATATAGAATATCACCGCACGTGTATTGTGATTTCAAAACAAATTACTTGTAAAGAATATAAGTTATCGATGTGAAGCTTTCGACTCTGCTTCGATTACAGGCACACATCAATTATTTCACCAATAGGTTTATAAAGGGTGTTTCAGCAAATGAAAAATACACAAATAAATATTATTCACATTGCGTGTCATATGTTAAATGAACAGCAAATATTGAAGCAATAACGGTAGAAAAACATGTATATCTCTCGTATAAATATATAAAGGGTCTTTCATTTGCAACTGGTCAACTTCAAACTGTCACTGTGAACGCACCTTTAATTCGATTGATAAATTTTGAATTTTAAGATATTCAGGAAAATTAACATTTCTATCATGGTTAAGTATAAGAACGAACCACATTTACAAATAATTAATATTTCCTACACAAATATCCCAGTCGGTGGTCGCAAGAGCCTTAATGTCAATTTTCGGTCCAAAGGCTGGTCCCAGTAGGCAAGTAATTCATAGTGTAGTGAACAAATTTAATCAACATATTCTCTGCTTAAAGCTCCGGTCAGTGAGACTACGTTTTGCCCGAAATATGGAGAATATCGCTGCGGTATAAGTGTCCATCGCAAACGAGCCGAAGCAATCAATTTCACAGTCACGCTCCCTGACCACATTATGCCGAATTTTTGATAGCGATCTTAGCGTACAAGCTTATAAGATCAAGAAAACTGAAGCCACGTGATGAACGTACGTTCTCAAATTGGGATATGGACATGATGGAAGAAAAGTCTCAGTTTTTGAACGTGTAATCTCGGGAAATCAACCCCTCGATTGCCGTCGATATCGTGTGACTTAATGCCTCTAGACTTATTTTTATGGGGCTACATCAAAACAATGTCTATCCCAACAAGCCGGAGACATTAGAAGAGCTAAGAGCCGATATTGAGTGAGAGAGAGCGACCGTATCGAAATACGTGGCTGGCCAAAATTTTATTAACGAATCGATCGCTGAAAAAGTGCAATTTTAAGATATCTCACGTAATTTGCGTTTTACTGAAAAAAGAACATGACAAGTCGCTTATGAAATGTCCTATATAAATACTGCTTGCATTCTATTTATTACAGTTTGCAATGGCTTAATGTAATTAAAAATCCAACAAATTAAAGTGAACGAAGTCTCTGCATAATACTGTACTTGCCTAATAATTGTGTATTTGAGAATGAAGAGTTGTAGTAAAGGGCAGCTGCGTAAGACATAGTCAATGATGACTAGATACGAAACTCTTTATTCCGTGAGAGCGCTCAAAAATCCGCATTTTTTATAACATTTCTGAACAGTGCCACTGTGATAGAAAAATTACTTCTTTGGATTTTTAGGTATATTTTGGGTATTTTATTACAAACAACGACGTCTTTAATTGCAATTTCACTTAAATATTTCATTAGGAAACAATTCAATATTTAATTATATTAAGTTTTAACAATAAAATTACAATAATTTCTTTAATATTTACTGCTGAAGGAAATTTCTTTTGAAACAAAAACTATGGATTTTTTTATTGGCATAGTGGCACTGGTGCGTTTTGCACATCAGATGTTGAATGTTCCCCGATCTGTCACTGCTGCCAACATTAGAATGTGAGATGGGGGAACGCTCTCAGCTGCGATTTGAGTGATTTTGAGTAAGTTTCGTATCTAGTCATCTTTGACATAGTCTAATATTGCATTTCCAGGACAGCCCAGTCCCGTGTTTCGCTCTCTCAATCGTAATACGTATTCTAAATACAGCCGAATTTTGTGAGCGAATTACAGTAAAATTGGGTAATTCGTTCTTAATCGCCAAGCGAATTACGACCAAATCGATGCCTTCTCTAATTCTTATCGAAATTTTATCGAAACCAGCTGACAAATCAAAACAAACGACAGGAGAATCATAAAAGTCGACACTAAGACAAAAACATTGACTTGAAACCAAAGCAGAAAATTAGAAATTATTACAGAAACTGGCATAACATTGTCAAATCAATTCAAAATTTTCTTAACTTCTATAAAATCTTTAATTTTCCATACATTTTCAAATGGAACAAACAAGCAAAACCGAAAACTCTCAAACTGCGTGCCGGGTGATTGGGTAATTCGCATTCGTAATTGATGCAGCGAAACACGTAATTGAGCTGTCGTGGAAATGCTGTATAAGCCACCTTTATATTGCGATTTGAACTCGAATTTATTATATTTTTTATCGATTAAAAAATTCATAATACTCATTCCTATTACCGGTATACATACTTTATACCACGCCATTTTATCTGTAACCAATTGAAAATTTTCCCAATATCAAAATATTTTTTTAAAACTTAAGAAAAGCAGTGTCTTTAAAGGAAATTCCGACAAATTCAATGTCTGATTATCGTTCTCAATCCCGGGATGGTCACCGTGATAGTGGTCGTGGGGGTGGTGGCCGAGATTACTCCAGTGATGATGATCCACCCATGTCGCGTCTTTTCATAATTTGTAATAAAGCTCATACAGAAGAAGATTTTCGTGACGCATTTTCACCCTATGGAGAGATCGAAGACATTTGGGTCGTGAAGGATAAAAATTCCGGCGAAAACAAAGGAATAGCGTATGTAAAATTTGCAAGAACTTCAGATGCCGCTAAAGCACAGGAAGAGATGAATGGGAAAACTATTGGTAAAATGGATCGCACTTTGAAAGTTTTAGTGGCTGCCAAGTAAGTTCAAAGTTCCTTATCACAATTTTATCTTTTTTTTTTTGATCATTCTACTAATCTTACTCAAAAATAACTCAGTCGAAACCAAGGATCCAATAAATCCGAAAATGAACAAGAAAAGTATGTGCGTCTCTTCATTGTTATTTCAAAATCAGCAACAGAAGAAGAAATTAGAAATGAATTCTCCCAATGGGGCGATGTGGAAAATGTGACTATTGTCAAAGATAAATCGACTGGATCACCCAAAGGATTTGGCTATGTTCGATTTACAAAGTAAACTTTATTGAGAATTTAATTCGAAAATATACATAAATTTGTGCAATATTTTTTCTTAGGTTTTATCATGCAGCTGTAGCTTTTGAAAATTGCTCACCCAAATATAAAGCTGTTTTCGCAGAACCAAAAGGATCTACACGATCTCAGAGGGATCAATATGGACGACAAGCGGACGATAACCCTATTATGAGCTCTGGTCGCAGTGGCGGCGGCGGTGGTGGTAGTACTACTATTGGTGGCGGTGGTTCATACAACAATGGAAACTTCAACAATGATTGGAATTGCTCTTTCAATAGTGATATGGCAGCATTTCTTCGTATGCAGAATGTACCAGTGCCACAACCAACTTGTTTGGAAGTCATTGCCAGCAATTGTGTCAATCAAGATCAGTTATGGCGATTATTTGATATTATTCCCGGCCTAGATTATTGCCAAATAACAAGAGAATGTTAGTTACACTCTTTCATGTTGCACTATTTAGAAATATATATTTTGTATTTTAGACGGGCCAAGAACTAATGAAGCGATTGTTGTTTACGATAATCCTGAAGCGGCTATTTATGCTAAGTAAGATTATATGCTACTATTTTCTAAATTTTTTACTTATATATTCGGATTTGTTACAGAGATAAATTGCATGGTTTGGAATATCCGATGGGAGAGCGAATCATAGTCAAAGTAGCTGGCATGAGTTCGGCTCGTATGGATACATCCTTTATCGATAGTATGGCCTAAAAATGGAAGTATATATAGTAAGATTTTATTTATTTGTTTTTTTTTTTTTTTTTATAATTTCGCAGAACGTACTAAGAAGGATTCGATATGCAATGTACCATTGCCTCCTGCTCAGCCAATGGTATCACCCGATACGCAAGTTGCCCAACGGTTGTTTATCGTTTTAGCAGCGGTAAATATGAAGAGCTAATGCATAACTTTTAGATATTAAATTGAAATGTATAATTTTTTGTTATAGAATCTTCCCCAGTCTATCTTGAAAAATGTGTTTTCCTGCTGGAAAGGATTAATCGACGTATACCTTCTGCCGAATAAAAATTGTGGCTATGTTAAGTACGCAGATCGAGACAGTGCACAAAAGGCTATACAGACGTTAAACGGTGCTGAAATTTGTGGCACCAAAATTAAGGTACAGCGCTTTCGGGTAATAAATTTGTATATATTGACAAATATAAATTGAATGCAGGTAATGGAAGCCGAAGAGCGTGGTAATGGTGACGGCGATGATAATAATAGGAAACGGCTTAGAAGAAATTAAGCGTAAGTAAAACTATAAACAACAAATCTTATATATTATTATTCTTCGTAAATAATCAAGAATTGACATTATTTTCTTCAAATATTTCTAACGGGTAAGTGTATATTTTCACATTGCTCAACCTTGAAAATTTCAACAGACTGATAGTCTCTTAAATATATGACGGTCTTTTGTTGTTATCTACTAAACTTTTTGTAAAGTATTTGTTTATAGAACTAATCCTTTCAGGTTAATCAGCGTGTTTTGTTTTTCTTTTTCACAGACATACATAAAGCAAACCAAATTAAAACCATAACAGTAACGTTCCATTACTTAATATAAAACAAGAAATAAAATGAAACTAACTGACTGCAGAAAACATTTACGGAAACTAAACGCAAACGGAGTTTAAACGGAAACTGGTAGATACAGTATGTACGGATGATTATACAGAGCTAGTGGTGTAAGCATATACATAAGAATATGTAAAATGCTTCTGCAATGAACTAAAACCACCAAACGAAACGACTCAGACCTTCACAATCACTATGTTTGTCACTGTCATAATCATCAAAATCTGAAGCCACAGAATGCCACTTGTAGACAAAATGACCAATTTGAGACCAAAAGATACCCAGAAACCACACATGAGTCAAAAATGTTAACGATGCGCAACGGACACTCTCAAAGAGCTACAGTACTGAAAACAACAACAACAAACAAATTGATATTACAAATGTTAATTTGAGCAGAGTTTTTTAATAGAACAAAAAAAAAATGTGTTAAACGAAATTAACGAAATATTAAACTGAACTAAAACCCATATGGACAAAATAATACACGCCTCATCACGATGCAAGAACCGAATTAACTTTACCAAAATAAACTTAATACTCCCTTCAATTTGCATATACTTCAAATTAGAAACTTTTAACACTTAAACATCTATCCATACACTTGTACATGCTTATTAAGACGTTTTTACTCATTATTTCAACGTTACCATTTGACAGTTGGAAGTTAAAAAATTATGAGGGAAATTTTTAGTATGCCAACATGTTTGGCATTTCATACTTATATATATATATATATATACATACATAGAAATGTATATATTGCATAAATATAAAAAAGTATTTTAAATTCAGATTATTATAAAAGAATCTAATAAATATTATTATAAACTAAAAAATCTCAAATGTGTTTTCTTATGTTTGACTAAAGCCGGTAAGATTTTTTATGGATAAATTAAACTTTTATAAACATACAAACAAAAGAATACGAAATTAAAAACCTCGTGTAGAATCATCGAAATGTCTAAAAACGAACTTTGCTGGTTGTGTTTTGTTTGTGTAATCGTGCGTTCGAAATGTCAAAACCTATTACTCATGTATTTGGCGAAATGGAAGGAGTAGCAAACAATCATATTGTGACTTCACCTTCTATAAATTCGCCTTGGTTAGTGAGCAATTATTTTGTATAAAATGTAAAGTAGTTTGAAAATGATTTTGTAAAGTAGTGAAAGTGCATACAATAAGACTTCTTAGCTTTTCCCATTTCAATTAATCTTTATTGATATTTTCTTACTTTCGTATTACACATAATAAACACATCCTAACTGAAAGGAAAAATAATGTTGTTTTATATTATTTATTCATTTGTTCATATTAATTTATATAATTGCAAATTTGATAATATAATAGTCTTCTTATTTAGCTTTGTAATGAGTGCTTTAGCGTTGATAAAGGAGAATACGTTTCTCCCTCCGCCAAACCATTTTCCATATTAAACTATTATCATTATTTTGACTACATTCATTAGATTTGCTGTTATATACTAATTTCAACATTTTATTATATTGATAATTTCAATTAATTAAATATAAAACCGTCTTAGTGGAAAAAGTAACTATTTTAGTTTGGAAGTAGAGCGAATATCGTCAATCCTCGGTACATCAACTTACAAAGTATAGTAAATATTGTTTTTTTTTTTAACGATTTGATGAATATTTAAATTTACTAATTCCGAAGTGTACTTCGCGACTTGATAATGAAAAGAAAAGTAGACAGATTTAATTTTAGTTAAAATAAATTGTAATGTTTTTGCAAAATAGTATATCTTCGCATTTAATGAGCATAAGATTGTATTATAATTATAATTTTTGTTGGCCAATGAATTGAGAATTCCTCTACCTATTTGTTTGCTTCTATGACTTTTTGTTGATTGCTTGCTGACTTGGTTGTTTAATGCAAAATATGAATTTTTTCCGTCGCTTAACTTAAAAACCGTGAACTTTCAACTGATCAGGTTTCGCAAGGCCTGCCTTGGTTAACCATTGGCAGATGTTCTCACGTTGATCGCCCTGAAGCTGTAGAACTTCTCCGTATTCGGGATGTTCGATTACTGTGCCATTGCAGGCAAACTCCTACAAATTCGAAAAGAAAAAACAATTACTATTTGATATTTATAAACGATTTTTGTGAGCGACATACTTTTTTACATGATCGCACAATTTTCTTTAAATCATATTCCGAGGATAAACCTTGCACAGTTGTTAGTGTCTTACGACCATTTCTCTGCTGAATTCTTATATGAACAAGTCCGTCTTGAACATCATCATCAGCACCCTTGATTGCATCAGCAAAGGGGTCTGAAAAAGAAACAAATAAGTCATGTAAATATATAAAATGGAGTTGTAATAAATAAGCATTTCGAATTATTTCTTTAACTCATATGCATGTTATTAAGTATCTTATACTACGAAAAATATATTTCAAGAACGTGATATTGACTACTGGCATCACCCCTCTTCAATCAAATTTTATGATGACTACGTCAGCGTCAATGTTATTGTTGTGTACAACAAAAAAAAGTGCTGCTGACTCATCACATGAAATTAATCTTGACTTAAAATATTAATTGAAACATAAATATTTTAACAAAATTATCATTTGTAAAATATTTTGAATAAATAATGAAAATTGGAAAGAGCACGTTTTAAGAAACTTTTATGTCTCACACTACGAGCCAGTTCCACAAAAACGGCAGCCATTTTCTCCCCCGAATGTCGAGCAACAAAGAGAATAAAAAAAAAAGAACCAACACACTCGGATTTATTTGCATTCAGTGAAATATATTTTCGAAGAACGTTTGCTTTCACAACTTCTCACTTACCAAATGTATTTAAATTCTGGATGGACATACGATAATAAAAAGTAACCACAGCTGAAAATAAAAAATCGTTCGCAAAGATCTCTTTATTGCGTAGAATTACTGAAAATTTTCACTTGTATTTCTCGTAAACGTGCGACTTTGTCAAGTATGTTTCGAAACGCTACAAATTAATAAATGAGATTGGCTCAGCAAGAATTGAAATGAGTGAAACGTGTTTTTTCCAAATTTCTTTGAAACTTTGGAATGAAACAGGAACTGTCAAATTTGATCTATTACAAATTTATTAGTATGTGACATTTAAGCCACAGAGTTGGATTAATTAACCTTACCTCATGTCTCCACAGGCAACCACTGGTATGAGGAACTAGCTTGGGATTCTATAGATTCATTATAATGAATTTTTAATTATGCATTTTTAATTAAAAATTAATGATCACATACCTTATGTACATAAATCATTTAAAAATAATCTACATAGGTATATATTTTTGCTGTTGTTGCTGTAGCACCTCGAATTTCATGCCGGGGTGTGGCCGGTATTGGAAAAATTAATATATTTTTAATTTTGAATGCGTGTGAACCATTTCAGTATTTGATATCATGTACAGTTATCTCTATTTACGATAAATATTTCCATCTAAAATTAACTACATATCTAATGGAATGATTTTCGCAGAACCAATGAAAAGGTTTATACGAAAAAAATACTTCGAGAAGAGAACCAGGCACTTACTTATTCGAAAAAATTATATTTATGTTCGATTTACTTGAAATTCCATACAAATATGGCTTTTTGGGAACAAAATTGTATTTATAATTAATTTTAATTTTTTTACGGTAAAAAAATATTCATATTCATGGTTCGTTTAAGTTAAATAATTGGATGATATGCTTAAATGTAATACTTTTGTTTCCTGGAAATGGACCAGAGAACTAAAACCTAGTTCGATTTGTTCGCAATATTATTAATACTCTCTTTACGGAAAAGAAATAACCGATAGTTTTTCAAAAATTAGAGGGATTGAAATATAAGCATAGATCGTGCTTAAATATATTCGCTTCGCATTTTTATTATTCTGCGGCTATGGCATACTAGCTAATTTGATACGTACAAATTGTATGTGAATAAACATAAATCCGAATGAGAAGCACATTCAAATAAGCAGTTAGCTATATAATATAATAAAAAAAAATTAATTACGGGTTTTTATCGCTCTGTACAATACTGTTGCGAACAATGCGATGCTTCTACGCTTTCGTCTGCGAGCAGCCGACTGCTATATAAAGGCGACACTCAGCTGCAAGTTAAGTTAGTGATAAAGTAAACTCGTTGGCGTTAACATCAGTGAAGACGTAAAGTGAACACGTTGGGAATTACATTTAAGTAGAGTAAATTGTGGAAGTTGATGTTAGTGATTAAAAATAGTAAAGTGTAGTATAATTGAATTGTGAATTACTGAGAAAATAAAGGACATTAGATAGAATCTTTATAACGAAAGAAACTGCAAATTAAGTTGGCGAGTTTTTATTTAACAATCCAGAGATCGTACCCGAAGGATCTAGAAAATAATCGAGGTTGATTTAGTAAAATCGTAACAATACTAATAAGACAAAATGCAAAAAAGCCACAACAATGCGAAGCTGAGTCTGTTAGCTCTCCATGGATATCAAGTTCTCATTGAAATATTTGTGTCTTTTGCAAAAACGTACTCTTGATGAAGTGCTTTACAATTTAATTTTTAATGAATATGTATCTGAATTATGATATCCGCATTAATAACATGAAATAAAAGATCCTCCTAAAAATCCAGCGGGTGTTCGGAAACATTTCAACATACATTTGTTGGAAAAAACATCTTAACACAAAACCACAAGTTTGAAAAAGAGTTCGGCTGAAAATGTATTTTGGTGCAATTTAAGACGGATCTATTACTACTTGTTAAAAAACGATTATTTTATGAACCCCCTTAATAACAGTTATTATCAAAAAACGAAATGACATTTTTAACGGGACAATTTGGAATGGAACACAGGCTACATAATCTAACCAGGATCTTAAATCAAAAGTTTTTGCACTTAAGAAAATTGTTCGTGTTAACGTAGGTCTAAAATTTACTTATACCTCACGTTATCATACAATAAGAATGGTTAATTTAAATATTGTCCATAAATATTGCCACGGACCCTTACTTAAAAGCACATCCATGTAATCATATATAGTCGGTTAGTATTCAACATCATCGCTGACCGAAAGTTTCTTTGAGTTGGAGAACTCAGCAAAATATGATTTAAAATATATTTAACAAAATTTTGTTTTTAATATTTTAATGTACCTTTAAAAAGATATAAGCATTAACTATGTACAGAAAATATGTGAAAATATCATAATGGACCTTATGAATTAATTACATGTTTATATTTAGATTCAAGTTTGTTCTAAACTACTTAGAAATACTGGTTTTATGATAAAATTACTTCCTCCTTAATCTGACCTTGCTCAAGTTTCTGTGACAGTTCTGCCTCTGCTACACGTTTTTGCAAATGACGCCACAAAGTACTCTTCGGTATATCAAATAAATTGGCAGCATGATTCTGTGACATTCCTTCGTGAACGCAAGCATGTAGCGCTTTAGTTAATTTATCCTTTAATTCTATTTTCGAATTGACATCACGTTTTTTAAAGGAAACATAATCCGGCAACCGACCTTGCTGCGCTAATCGTACTTTGTGTCTATGCAAAGTTGACATAGGTATATCCAATTCGCGACTAATATTCTTTAAGGAGTCACCACCCTTTAAACGTTCATAGGCCATTGTTAGAACAGGATTCTCTCTTGTGGTTTTCATATAATTTGGATGCTTGCGTACTCTTCTCCAAAGAACGGTTTTTGAAAGGTCATACTTTAAGGCGGCCTTCTGTAAACTCATGCCTTCGTTTATTACCGCCTGTACGGCATAATATAGTGAATCCTCTGGTGTTCCAGGTGCATTCAAAGAAGCAAATGTGTCCTCAGTCTTTAATACTGAAATCGGGTCCGTCGTTGGGTCAAGTGTTGTAAACATTGGTTGGTTTATTTCTTCTGTTTCAGCAGGAGATTGGGTTTTGATTTTTATTGCTTTTATTTTTGGTGTTGGTTTAATTTGTATAATCGGTTGTGGCACTTGAGAAGTTGTGGTTGTGGTGGCAGTTGCTTTTGGAGTGCTTGTCGTTGAAGTAGTCGCTGATATTTCAATTATAGGATCAGCACTGTTACTGCTATACTCTTCTATGATGTGACCATCTTCAGTGGTATCTTCCATTTCAACCAACTTTTCTGTATCCGAATTAGAAGCATTTTCAAGTTTATTTTGCGTCAAAGTGAATGTCCCAGAATTTTCAGTCAAAATATACTCATTTGCAGTGTTGGCGACCGGCATATGCTCTATTGAGTAGGTGATCTTACTGTGTTGAGCCTCATTGTATACATCCAAGAATTCTAATTCTCTATCATGTTGTATTACGTGTTGTGTCTGTAAAGAAATTAAAATTTCTGAATAAATTTCTATTAAAATCTAATAATGAAAAAATGTATTTTACCTCGATTTTCTCTACGGCAATATTTTCTTGTTGCTCAATTAATTCTTCTTGCGCAATTTGTATATTACTTAATGTTTTAATTGGAACAGTTGTTTGTACAGCTCCCGATAATGTAGCATTATTGCATTCAAAACTAATTGCCGATTTAATACCCAAGGTATTAATTGCCTCCAAAAACTCGGACAAATTAGTTGATGTAAGACTTGTTTCACCAATGTATATAAATGCCAATACACTTTCTAGCAGAGAACCTTTTATGTCCGGCACAACAATTGTAGCTTCCTGTCCCATTGGCACATCTACCAGCAGATTTCGCAGCAAATCCGAACAAGATGATAGTACAAACCTGTGAGCCCGCACCGAGTGACCTTTGGCTACCAGCGTCACTTCACAGCTTTGTGGATCATTGCGAAGATTTCTTTGGATATCAAAAATAGTTGCCGAATGGCCCATCCATTTCAAATGATTCATTATATTTGATACGCCGAGTTTGTTTGTTGTGTTTTAATTTCAGTAATCTGGATTTAGGAACGTTTGTTCTCTGAAAATTCTATCGACAAAATTTCGCTAATTCCACAGAAAAAGAGTGCTACGGTCCGAAAATGAAATGAATGAAATAAGAACCATTTTGGAATTTATTTCGCAGGGTTGCATTGCAATAGCTTAAGGTGAGTACATACATATGTACCTACCATACCAAACCATTAAAAATTATTTTTACAGAAAGATCTCTACTATTATATATAATAGCATAAGGATTTTTTTAATTCGTGGATTAAAAAGCAAAAAAAAAAAAAAATTATAAATAAAACTAATTTCTTATGATTGAGGGTTGAGGAATGTATGTTTAATCAGTATCTTGGGTAATGTCTTTGATATACACTCCGTTGAGCCACGTACCGTGGAGGAGGTGAGAGAAAAGCTGTGACGTAGACTAACGTAGATTTCTAGAATTGAAAATTTTATAAAATAAAATCATTTTATTTGGGTGAGTGGTCTTTTTATGAATAACTTTCATGTAGCTATATTCATTTGTGTATAATTTATACTTTTGTTGCCTGTACGTTTTTAATAGTCATTTAAAATCCTGGCAACGATGTTTGATCACTTCCAACATTAAAATATCATTTCGTTTTGATAACAAAACGTCGAAATGAAACCAATTCATTTCAATGAGGTTATTTTATATATAAACACAACGCAATTGTCTGGTTTCATTTGTTGAGCATATTTGATATGGATACGAGTTTCCCCGTGTAAATTAAATTTAAAAGAGAAAATACTTATGGATCTTGCGCAAAGTCATGTCCTGTGGATGGTCTTAATACATTTTTAATGCAACGCTGCTATAAATAAAAGCTTGACAATTGAACATATGTTGTTATATAAACAGCTGTCAAAAAATTAAAAAGGTGTAATTTCAGAATTTTTCTTAATCGAAAAATTGAAAATGGCAGCGATTATTAGAAGAATAGGTTGCAGAGCAATTGGCAATTTAGCTTGCAAAAGTAGTAAGTGCTAAGTTACATAATTTCAAAGAGATAACTTTGTTCAATGCTTGTTTTCAGTTGCTGCACCATCTGCCGTTGCCAGTACACGGTTTTCTAGCTCTACCCCTGCTGCACCACCAGCGGTAGAAGACAAACGTATGATTATAGAATAAGAAAAAATTAGTGAATATTTTAATATTGATGCGTTCATCTTGCAGCAACCTTCCGAAAGCCCAATGAAGCGGCTCGCATCGATTTAAGCAACTTTGGTCGATATGTAGCTGAGTGCTTACCGAAATATGTGCAAAAAGTACAATTAACTGCCGGTGATGAGCTGGAAGTTTTAATTGCACCTGAAGGTGTTGTTCCAGTCCTGCAGTTTCTGAAGGACAACCATTTAGCACAATTTAGCAATTTGGTTGATATTGCTGGCATGGATGTACCTAGTAGACAATATCGTTTCGAGGTCATCTACAATCTATTGTCGCTACGTTTCAATTCTCGTATACGCGTAAAGACATATACCGATGAGTTGACACCCTTGGATTCATGCAATGAAGTTTTCAAAGCAGCAAATTGGTATGAACGTGAAATTTGGGATATGTATGGTGTATTCTTTGCGAATCATCCTGATTTGAGACGCATATTAACTGATTACGGTTTTGAGGGACATCCACAGCGCCGAGATTTTCCGTTGTCAGGTTACGTTGAGGTATCATATTTGAAAATTTTTATTTTGTATCAAACCGTCTTTTATTAGAATGTGTTTTTTAGTTGCGTTATGACGATGAGAAAAAGCGTGTTGTCTGTGAGCCATTAGAGCTGGCACAGGAATTCCGTAAATTCGATTTGTCAGCACCATGGGAACAATTTCCGAATTTCCGTAATGCAAATCCACCAGCAGAGACTGTTGAGACCAAGCAGGAGACATCTAAAAAGTAAACTCTTAATGATGTAATTTGATGTTACTAATTTCTTGCTGTGGGTTGAAGGATTGAGTGTATTGCAAATTAAAATAAGATTTTAAATGTTGCATAAAGAAAAACAATGTTTTTGATTTGTTATTTTATTGAAAAATACTATGGTTTGTAGAAAATACCCATTTATTTTTAAGTAAATATGGGCTACACGAAGGTTACACATTCTTGGCAGTTCTGCAGCCCTATATAAAGAAAAAAGTTTCTTTCTGAAAACCGAAATTGCTGTGGCAACACTACGCGGTGCATATTAAGATAACAGGTTCTCAAAACACACAGATACCAAGTGCTATAAGTATTTGTACGATTTTATACCGGCAAACCAATGTTTCGCAAAAAAAAAAAAAATAATAACAATAACAATAACCAACATTTCTAGATTAGAACCACTGTTGCACTGTTTCATTAATGGCAACACCCATTTCTGAAATATTTCACTCAATTGTAGTCTAGTATGCACAGTACATCAACAGTCAACAAATAACTTTTCAATGTATTGCACTGCTTGTATTGTGTGTTCATTTCACTCATTCACTAGCAGAACATTTAATAAAATATATTATTGTTTTCAGTATTATTAGAATGGCAAATTAGGCAGTTGTTAATCAAATGCTCGACGAAAACGCAAACAGTCCGGGCGCTATAAGAAAAAGAAAATGTTGACACCTGCACAAAAAGAAATAAACGAGATAACGAAAAAATTCATGTGTTAACGCTTATGACACAACTGAGTGGGTGAAAATTAAAAAGAATTTAAGAGCAAAGTTATTAATTGACATATATGTGTACGTATATTAAGGTATAATTTCAATAAACAAGTACTGATACAAGCGGAAATAAAAATAAAAAATAACAGCTATAGTACCGTAATTGCTACTGAAATTGTGTACATACATATATATATCTGTTTTAATTTCCAATAGACTTAAATTTTACTATGGATATAGTGTCCAATTATTTTGAGAAAGGTCTGGTCTTGGTTATTGCCGACTTGCTTAGCCTGATAACGGTGTCATCTTGTTTGGTCATAAAGGTGCCACAAATCAATACTATCCGAGCGAATAAGTCTTCACAAGGTAAATAAATACAATTAAAAGAAATAATTTAAAATTTTACGTATTTGTAATAACAAAAATAATTTTTAATTATATTAAAAAAAAAACAACTTTGAGTTGTTTGTGTGCGTGTACAGTAGAAATGTTTACGGTTTTCTGTTTCTCTTCCAACATGTAGGCATCAGCGTTCTTGGCCTTTGCATCGAACTCTTCAGCTACACTGTGATGATATCATATAACTACAGCAGTGGCTATGAGTTTCTATCCTATATGGAATATCCCATATTGCTGTTGCAGGAATATGCACTCATCTACTATACCTTCCTTTACCAAAATTTATTGGGTGTTCGCACACAAATAGTAGCGGTATTTTATGCTGTAGTAGCGACATTGATATATTTGAAATTATTTCCGCTTGTGATACTTGCGTTTCTTGTGGTAAGTTCTCATTTCTTCCTATAGTGTATAGGCTAATGCATAAATAAGATGGCTGCATATTATAAGTAGTGATTCAAAGTGTAAAGATCTGTTATACACTGCGCGACAACCGATTAGCACACTCTCTAAACTATCAGTTTAAAGGAAAATAACTCCCTACTCTGATTTTTTCTTTTATTCTGTATCATTTTCGCTCATTCTAAGTATAACTGTTAGCTCTGGAAGTGTACCGTTATTTTGCTTTACTTTTTTCTTTGAAGTGCGACAAAAATGCATGCATGTTTTTTGCGACAGCCGAATAGCACATCTTCGCTTTCATGTCACTTTTTGCTTGTAAGCTGCCTTGATTGGGTGTTTAAGTTTATTATTTATTTATTGGGACTAATTATCAATAAAATAAAGTAATAATGGGCAAAGGAAAACCGTTGGACGAGTCTGAAAAAGGCAAAATAAAGGCTTACAGGGAGTGCGGGCACTCTATTCTTCAAATATCAAAAAATATTAAGCGCAGCCGTAAAGTTATTACCGCATATTTTAGCAATAAGGATACATATGGGGAAAACATGAAAGGTCGGCCATCATCAGTAATAACAGCAGCTGACAAGCGAATCATACTATGACACGCATCTAATTCCCACGACTCAGCCGCCAAAATAAAGGAAAAAACTGGTTTTAAAGCGTGCGCTCGGACTGTACAAAGAGTTATTTCGAATGCTGATCATATGAAGCATCTAAAATAAAAAAAACCACCTCTAAACCAACTTAGAAAGATGCAATGACTCAATTTCTGTCGATCAAATATGACCTGGACTAAGGAGTAGGAGCGTGTAGCCTTTTCAGATGAAAAAATTTGGAGGGTCCTGACGGCTATGCCTACTACTTTCATGATCTCAGAAAAGAAGAGCATGCTTTAGATCGATTGCACAGCCGTGCGGGTGGTGTGATGGTGTGGGGAGCTTTAACATACTTTTGCACTACAGAACTGCAGTTTCTTACCAGCCGTCTGAATGCCATTGCGTACAATGGTGTACAGAATACGGCTTTCCCTGCAATCAAGGATATTTTTGGACCCTTTAAATGTAAGTATCAGCAGGACAACGCACCTATCCACACAGCCAGGATTGTAAAGTCCTGGATTGATGGTCAAAACGTGGAATTACTGACTTGGCCGCCATAATCTCCCGACCTAAAAATTATAGAAAATGTTTGGGGATGGCTGGCACGAAAGGTGTACGAATCCGGCAGGCAGTATTCAACTGAAGCAGAACTCATTGAGGGAATAAAAAGGTCCTGGGAGGCTGTTTCACTCAATTATATAAAAAAAATTATATGACTCCTTACCTCAGCGGAATTTGTTTTCAAAAAAAGTTAAAAATATTTAAAGTTTTCAAATGACTGTGCTAAACGACTGTCGCAAAAATAATAGAGAATTTTGTATGTTATGTTTGTTTATATTAATTTAAAATGTTATTAATAAAGTTAGTATCCTATCTCCTATTAATTTTCTTGTAAAATTATATATTCTTTTAAGGGAAAAAAATTCATTTGAAGAGCTTTTTTAGTTTTCCTGATATTGAGATTCAAAGACGAGCAGCATAGGGTGTGCTGATCGGTTGTCGCGCAGTGTACATATTACAATGCGACCATTATATGTGCAAATATCTCAGCGCTAAGGAGCGGCTAAAAGCTACTCCCGCATGGCTTCCTTCTTGTAACCGCGGCTAACCTACATGAAACGTTATCGACGTCTATCATTCTTATCATTTCATTTTACAGCCAACTCCCTTAAATAACCTTTTTATTTGATATAGGTGGAATCATAAATTATTAAATACATAAGATAAAGTAATCATGTCATACTTGCCAAATATATGTAAAAAATTTAAAATAATATATTAATACGCCATTTATTCAGTAGTATATTGGTATCACATCAAAATTATGGAATAAAATAAATTTATAAATTTTGTTTGCAAAATACCCTATTTGAAGACCCAAATTTCAATATATTGCTCTCCACTATTTGAAAACTATTGATTACGATGGCAGTTTTTCAAAAATCTCTTTAAATATCAAATAAACTTAAAATTATGTATTTGTTTTTTTTTTTTTTTTTTTTTTTTTTTTTTTTTTTTTTTTGTAAAACGGTTATGTACATATGTATGTATGTACATATCTAAAACTAACGATATATTCCTACATAGTCTACTTCTGGGCGCTTATCATTAATTTATTTACTACGAGCATGCTTAGAAACCAATGTAGCACTAATTTTAATAAGCTGAGGAGTATCTAAGTTCATAATTTATTTCCAATAATTTCAAATGTTTTCACTAATGTTCTTATATTTATATTTTGTAGCCGTTTTGCACACCAATTGGCGCTACAAGCAAAGTTCTGCAATTAATTTCGATTCTACGCACAAAGGATGCTTCATCCGTTAGTCGAACGACCTGGGCTTTGTCAGCATTCACCAACATGAGTGAGTTGAATGTTTTTTTTTTAATTATTCTTATTTCATTCCTTTAAAAACATTTTGTATGACCCTTCTATAGCTCGCATCTATACGGTTTATGTACAATCAAACGATCTTATGCTGTTAAGTAATTTCTTAATATCTACATTTTTAAGCTCATCAGTGTTTGCTGCGGCTTGTTTCTACAAGAAAAAAGTAAAGTCCGCATAAGAAACTATATAGAGAAAATTGTAATTTAATGCACTTACACCTATGCACATATGCATAACAGAGATTATTTTGTTAAAATAAGTTAAAAAGTTTAAAACTTACTTCAAATAATAAAATAACACAATTTGCATACAAAATTAATATTATTATTATTTATTTCTTTAACTCTTATTGAGGTCACAATGAAACAATTAAGGTATGTATTAAATTTTTGATCAAAACAAACAACTACAACTTATATTAAATTAAATATTAAAATTCTTTCGTAGTCCGAAAAAAAGTTGATTCAAAATGTCACCATATATAAAACTACAAGCCTTTGCAAATCCGAAACGTAACTTCTTCGTTTAGTTGGGCAACATTTGTTAAATACAACTTTTTAACTATCTGCATAAAATGCTACAGCAATGGCTATAACGATTGCTAGTATTATGCCACCGTAAATACCAAATAATTTCCAATTTATCTGCCTGCTCGCTTTCTCATTCAGCACCTTACGTTCTTTATATTTACGCTTGTTGAATTTCTTTTCAAATTGTTCAACTTCTGCGCGATTTTTAGCTTCCTCTTGCTGTCGCAGTTTCTCCTGTTCGCGCCTCAATTGTTCTGCCAGTTTTTTCTGGGTTTCAATACAGAAGACGTCGCATGGTATGGTTGTTTGACCGGCGCGATGTTTATCACAGGATACTTCAACTTTAATACGTTTGCATTCGCAAAATATGCGCACTTTCTTCCGACACATTTCAGGATTTGGACACTTGCCTGGATGACAAGTCGTATGGCAGCGATGACCGCACGGAAACTGCAATTATGTTGGTAAAAGAATATTATAATTTGAAAAAAAAAAAATATATATATATATATATAAGTTTAATATATCAACATTCGTACGGTCTTGAGGCAGCGGTTTCCACAGCTCTTCAATCGTGCCTGTGTCATGGCTATTTCTTCTTCGGTGCCTTCCACTTTATAGTATTCTGAACATTTGTATATTAGTTGCGTTAAGCCACAATAACATTTCGTTTTTATCATTTTGTCACACGGATTACATGGCGGTGGATGACAGGGTCGTGAACAAGCGTGTTCGCAACCTGGTGGACGCTGAATAATACAACCTTCTTGGCAACTAGCGCAACCGATTTGTTCCTAAAAGACATTTGTGTAAATTAATACATTAAGTAGTGTTAAGAACGTTATATGCCTAAATGTATGTATGTTTGTACCTTCATATCTTTTAAGTCCGGCACAGAGTGACATACGAGCACACATTTGTGGTTGCCACAACGTAAAGAGCGATTGCATTTACGTTGACAGGATGTAGGCTTTGAATTCCAACAAGGCCATTCAGCTATTTCATGGCCACCTATGCAAGTAACTGTCACCGGTTGTTCACACGCTGGATGTGGCAGAGTTTTGAATTCAAACTACAGAAAAGTTCTTCATTAATAAATAAGAAGTAGATACGCACTTGTAACTCTACAAGAAGTTATACCTTTTTATTTTGACCCCAAACACTTGCACTTCCGTTCGTTTTAGTTTGTTCATTAAATTTAACCGCTACATGGCATTTAGCTTCACAAATATGCTGACATCCGGTCGTATTATTTGGTAGGCCACATTTCTGATTACACGGTGGACATTCACTTTTATGGCAGCGATGTTTTATTGGATGGTGACACTTCGAAGGAATGCTAAAATATGTGAAGTTAGTATTTTTAGATTTCAAAAGCTTTTTATTTATTAATATTATTGTCAATTAACCGGCATAATTCCATGCACATTACACGTGCAGTGCGTTCACGGCCGCAAGGTACTCGCTTGGACGTCTTACCACAACGACAATTCACTTGCGATTGCTGGTTACAAGGATAACAGGGACCTTCGTGGCAAACCGACTGGCATTTGTGTTTCTGGCAAGTAAGTGGTTTACCACAAACTTTATCACAAGGCTGACACATTCGGCCATCACAACACTGAAAATAGTATTAATAATTATGACAACAATAATAGTGATATTGAAATACCGCTCTTAACGCATTTAGGAGCTTATAATAAATTTATTTTCTATCAAAGAAATGTAAAATATTTATAAAGTACACTATTCCAAAATACCTTTTTGTTGCAGGTGTGTTTTCCACAATCTCGCATTCGTTTGCATTTAGTTTCACATATAAAGCTCTTCCAACAAGGCAATTCTTTTTCATGTATGCCACAACGGCATTTCTTCTTTGTTATAATCAAGCACTGTAAGCAATATATTATACATATGGAGATTATTTGCATATACTAAGTATATCATCTTACCAAATTACATTCGTCCCGATGACAACGTTGTGAACAAGTATGCACCCCACAGGATAAAAGCTTTTGACAAGTATCACCGCAAGGATCAATGACTTCAGTGCATGGTACAACTTTTTGCTACACGTTTTGAAGAGGAAACCATGAGCATACAAATTTATTCGAAAAAAGTGTATATTGTAAAGCTTACAGTTTTACCACATGGGCATGAGCGCGGCAAACTTAAAGGACAATCGCCACAAGGGCCTGAATGGCAAACACGTTTGCAAGTATGAGTGCTACATGAAAATTTTAAGCCGCAAACCTAGTGATCGAAAATTATTACGAAAAAAATAATAATAATAACAGCGCAGGATATAGTACCTTTTTACAATTCCATCTGAGCTCAGAACAATTTCGTTTAATGGTTTCATTTCCACATTCACATGGCTGCAAACTAGTATTCGTGCAAGGAGGGCACTGATTAGGTTTATGACATGATGCTTTACATTTGTGCTGTCCGCATGTTAGCAATTGGTTACACTGTGGAACGATATGAAAGTTATCATATACATATATTTTTATATTTCACCAACCTTTCTATCACATTTCCATTCCTTATCTATACAGCGTATAGATCTTTTCTCGGATTGACCACATAGACAGCTAGTATTTGCATATTGAGAACAAGGCGGGCAAGGGCCTGGATGGCAGAGCAACATACAAGTATGGCCACATGCTGGTTTTAAGCTTTTTCCGCATATTTCTCCACATGAATGTGGTAACAAAAAAGGTGCTGGTCGTGGGTTTGCCTCCTTTCCACAAAAACATTCATATGTGGTGGGCCTCTCTTCAATTGTGTAATCTTTACGACATTGTGGACAACTCCAATGCAATGGTCGTTTACGCTTCGGTGGTACAAACTGGCCAAGATGATTATAGTAACCCTGGTCAATAGACGTCTGCTCACATTTAGCTTTCATTTGCGCAATACTGTCATTGGCCCATCGGCGTATACAGTTCAAATGAAAGAAACAAAAACAATGTTTGCAGGTCCATATTGAATCAGAACGACGCACGCTCCCAATGCAAATTACACAAGTTGCAGATCCCGAGTGCAACGCGTTTTCAAGGAAGGTTGCAGTTTTTTGTTGTAATGCTGTTGTGATATCTGTTGATCCAGTGCCAAGTTTGTAATGCTTATATAGAGTATCTGAAAAAGTTGAATAATAATGAGCACTTTTAACATATGCAAAGGATGTGCATTTCTATTCGGAATACCAAGAATTTTGTTTTCATTAATCTCCTCATCATCTTCATCAGAGCTGGAGGAATATTTTTCCACTAATTTCTTAGCCGCTGCTATATTCTTGGCATGTATTTCTTCAAAGCGATTTACTCCGTTTAGTTTTGGTTTATTTGGTTTGGAGTTCGACTTCATTTTTTCGTTTTTTGCAGGAGAAATAGACATTTTAAAAATAATTAAGTATTTCGGTTCTTTGACGTGGTATTTAATAAATACGGGAACGGCAATTTTGTTTTACAGCTGTAAAAAGGTTGCCAGAAAGTTAAAATTGGTATGATTTAGTAGTTTTTTGTTGATATTGCGATAGAAGTCAGAGCGAAATTGAGCGCGATTGATCAAAACAGGTGTTTGTTGTTAAACACTGAATTAATTGAATTGGCTCTTCCATTGATATAAATTAAAAATTGAGTTTTTTTTTTAAATTAATCGAATAATGCCGTTTTGATTTTTATTAAAAACCTATTTAAATAAATTAGGAAAACTGATTTTGAAATTTATTTTTCAGATTTTATCACATTTTATTTTTGTATATAATGTATAAGTGTACAAAATATTTCCATGAAATACTAGAAAATACATATATAGTTGTATAAAAAATTTCAATTATAAAAATTACTTATTAGCTTATAATGCAATAAATAGTGCACATATGCATGCGCATGGAAACAATTTGTTTTCATTCCTCTGAAAAACCAGGATTAAGAAATAATTTATAGTTAAATCCAAGGTCATGAGAATTACCCATTTGTATACCACCGTTTTCAGAAAACATTTTACTCACATTTCGTTGCACTATTTTAATTATATCTTGAAAATCAGTATCATGAGCGTGTTCGGCGATGACCTTACAAAGTTCTTGTACATACCAAGAACCATTCTTCTGATCCCTAAATGACTTAAATCCCTTATTAGTAGCAAAGCAAATAAGTAAATCGGACTCTTTATACATCATAGCAGTGTTATTGTCTTTGTCTTGGGTATAAGACATTGTGTCAGACTCCGTGTTAGTCATATTACCTCTTTCTTCAATGGGCCCACGACAAAATGGGAATATAAGTACCTTTGGTTTTTCTAGTAAATTAGGGCATTTAACATTAGAAAAATGGTCGATTATTAATTGCACTTTTACTGTTGAGCCATCACTGAATCCTACGACTTCTTCTTTTTTTGTATTCAGCTCGCCGTGACTCATTAATGCCAATATGAAGCATTCAGTCTTTCGTGTGTATTCAGATTTAAGTAGCTTTTCTAGATAATCGAAAAACAACTTTTGCGAGACATCTTTCAAATTGAATATTTTAAAACCCAATTGTCTAAATACATAAATTAATGCAGCACTGTCATTTTCAGCTCCATTTCGATAATCCGTATCAAATTTTATGTTATTTACTAAAAATAAGATTCCACGGTTATCCTTTGATTTCATGCTATACGTTCCAATTTTATCATTTGTAATCATTTGAACAGTTTTCTTCACTTCATATTTCACTTTTGGTTCAACTGAGTCTAAGAATTCATTTGGAATAAGTATAGAGTTCTGTTCCTCCTGAAAGAAATCAAGGTACTTTTAAGAGGAATTGGATTAGAATAATAACATTATACATACACTTAATTGAAGACTATCGGGTAAATCGACGGCTGGCGTTGGTACGGGGTCAATTTCCTTTTCGGGGACGTAAGAGCTGTGTTGGGTGAAATTTGGGCGATTATCTCTGATACGTTGAAATTCTTTCTCTCTTTCCAAAATTTGAAGCGCCTCAACATAGTCCAAATATGTAAGAATTTTTTTCAATTTGTCGAATGCTTCTGGCCCTCTGTGAGTAATTTTTTCAAACAGTTTTTGGTGTTTAATTTCTTCTAATGTGTGAGTTCCATCAACTTCTAGCATATTTTTAGAATCTATATGAAGATTATTAACCATTCCTGCTGAGAGTAAGCCCTCTGTCTTACATGCTTGGAGAAGGCGTTTAAAATCGGTGTGTTGGATAAGTTTAGTGATGTTATCTTTTATTATTTTGCGGTGTTTGTCATCCATTTTTTCGGTTTAAAACTGGATGACAATGAAAATCAATTAGATGCGGAAATGGCAATAGCAATGGCACTGGCCGTGATCGAGCGAGTCTCAGTTGCGTGGGAATACTCGAATATTTGTGCTGAAGCTTTAATTTTAGTTTCACTAAGCACCAAATACGAATTTCGTATCAAAGACTTTTCGATTTGAAACTAGCAACTAATTTAATGTATTTAAAATACAAAATTTTGCTCCTTTATTTAAACAAAGGACTGCACAATTTGCAATTTCACAAACGATTATTTTCAATAGTGATGCCTAAGCATTAATCATTCTAAATTTAGTGAACATGGCCAAATTACAGGGTTGCTTTTAAATGAAGTAGAAAAATTCGTTAGTCAATCAGACATTTTTTTTTTTAATAATAAAGCTTTGGAATATTATAACACAGTTGAAAATTAATTGTAGTTTGAAGATAACAGCCCCAGCAGTATATTAAACTATTTTAATAATTAAAATTTCCGTTTGGTTTATTTAGTCAAAATGGAATCTTTACAATGCCAACTCTGGTGAACCAAATGTCATACGAAAGAGACCGAACAAATCGGCAAAATTTCTTTCCTAGCGCGTGTAAAACTTTTCTGCTTTTGTTTAATTAAATCATAATAAACCAAACTGAAGTTGTTGAGAAATTAACTTCATTTAGTAAGTTTGTAAAATATTTATATCGTTGAACTTATTAATTGTTTTAAATTATTACTAAATTCGTTAGTTTAATCGGTAATGTTCATCTGTTGCCTGACCACCAGGCTGCAGTGGAGGATAGTGCTTTTAGAGGAATTAAATAGGTTATTTTTCATCACAGTGTTTAAATTTTTCAAAAAATCTTTTTTCAATAAAAAATGCAATATTAAACTAAAAACAAATGGTAATGCCAATATACACTGTATATTACCGTAAAAGACGTAAACTTTTATGATAGGCAGTATATATGTTCAGTGCTGTGTTCAGTATTTGCATGACCCGATATTTCAAAGCATCCCTGTATTAGTGCCATTTTGAAGTGAAGATAAATTTGACATTTCCTTTTGTATAGAAAGATTATAATGGAACAATTTTATGTTTTAAAGAATCTTTGTTAAAAATTTACATGTACCTGCTGGTGAATGCTTTAATATTTATTCAATTGAATGATAAAAAACTATGGATTTTCAAGAAACATTGTCTTTAACAATAACTGTGCTAGCTTCTTTTCTCATCGTGATAATAATAATTTTGCTAGGTAAGATAATTACATATGATGAGGAAATTTTTGAGCGAATTGTAGATGAATAAGGCTTTACTTGTTGAAGGTAATCTGGGACCTCAATTCTAATATACAATCGCATGTTTTAAAGCTTCGAATATTGAATTTGGAACATTGATATCACATACCACATGTTATTACCTACTTATATGTATTAATAGTGTGGTCATGATAAAAAAATTTGTTTTTGTTTTTTTAGGTTGGTATATAATTTGGAAGGCGCTCCTGTCCAAATTTAGTCTACTGAGAGAACTGCTTGGTGTAGGAAACGGTGATCAGCCAGCTGACAACCAGCCTCAAATTAGAGCTAAAAAGGTACGGCGCGACTAATGCTAGAAAGCACTAGCAAATTGACGACGTTAGATAAACTATTTCAATAAACCGTCTCTTATAATAAACAAAACCACAATTTAAAAAAAAGCCGCATCATGAATATCCGTTGTGCTAAACCTGATGATTTGATGAGTATGCAGCATTGTAATTTGCTATGCCTTCCTGAAAATTATCAAATGAAATATTACTTTTACCATGGTTTGACTTGGCCCCAACTTAGTTATGTTGCTGAAGATGACAAGGGAAATATAGTAGGATATGTGCTGGCAAAAATGGAAGAACCAGAACCAGGTGAGGAAAGCAAGCACGGCCACATCACATCTTTGGCGGTTAAACGCTCATACCGTCGCCTTGGCTTAGCACAAAAGCTAATGAATCAAGCATCACAAGCTATGGTAGAGTGTTTCGATGCCCAGTACGTTTCTTTGCATGTGCGTAAAAGCAATCGTGCCGCACTTAATCTGTATACTGATTCGTTAAAATTCAAAATAATTGAAATCGAACCAAAATATTATGCCGACGGCGAAGATGCTTACGCAATGCGTCGTGACTTAAGCGAGTTTGCGAAAAAGGAAAATGATGATACAGCACAAAATGCGAAAAACGGTGGAGAAAAGGACAAAATCAACTATAGACATGCAGTTTCGCACGATCACAGCGGTCATGATGGACATTGCTGTTAAAGTGAAGGGATGTTAGACTTTAAGTATTCCTATGTATATTGAATATAATTTTATATTAACATTTATGTATATTTTTTTTGAAAATTTTCTAATTTTTAAATAAATATGCGCAAATCCTAAATGGGTTTTTAATTATGCGTTGGAATGTTTGTAATAAAAAATGATTATAGTAAATCGTATACTAAGCACATGGGCCCATTGTAATACCACTGATAATCCTAATGATCCCCACTCGCTAAACAAAACTAAGCAGTTGCCTTATCTTAACCACGGCTATTTCGCTCAATTTTCCAAAGGTTGCCTCCCCTAGAGACTTCAATCTGCTACCCTCCGTGCGGAGAAATCGAAAAGGAACTAGTTTTCAGATTAATTTCTTGTCTGCAACTTGTGCAGAAGTCGTTAGATGGTGTGCCCAATATCTTTGCTTGTCTGCGCAATAGAATATGTCCTGTAAGAATACATATAAATGTAGATATCTCCTTGACCTACGTGACCTTCTTCTGTTTCCTTCTGGCCATATTGTCTTGGTCACATAACACGCATTGCGATTTCTCCATCTTGACTTAGTATCTTTAATGAATAACTCTACTATATTGAGTGCGGCATGCCCAAGTGAAATTCTCTTCCTTGCAGCGACATATCTCCACGGCTTCCGGTTTCACTATGGTTCGATTATGGAGTTTCACTAAGATGCGAATTTTCTTGAATATACTTTTATTGTTACTTATCCATTTGTAACACGATTTTCAAAACTAGGTCTTTGATGAAAATGTGACTGACAATGCAAAACTAATCATCCTCGGAAACATTTATTCAATGTACCTTTATCTAACCCAGCTTAACATAACCTCATTTGTTGCGAAAATAAATACTTTAAAATGCACATATGCGCACATGTACATATATATGTAAAGAGAAATAATTATTTAATAAATTATGAGATAAACGTACATATTTATATATGTATACATATTACATACTACTTGAAAGGTTTAAAAATTTTTCTTCTCAATAAATAAAACGAAAAAAAATTCGCTTAATTTTAACTTCAGACTGTCAACAAGCTGCTCCACCATGAAATATATGTACATAGATACATACATGCATATGAATGTAAATATGAAAAACAAAAAATTAAAATGCGGACTATAAAATGTAATATACTTTTCAAAATCGCTGTTTTTTCCTGTGATGAGAAGTGTACGCAAGTAATTTATGCAAAAAGTTTTGTTTCGACTAGGTACGCGCCAATTCACCGTTTATGTATGCATATAAGCGCTCAACTTGTTCCATCCCTCTTCCCCGTTGCCTTCTCTACTTTGCATGCATTTGAATTAATGCATTTGACAGTTGGCCTCAGGACATGACCACCATACTGCTTACTAACGAAAAATGTTAATAGCAGTTGGGTAAAAGTTTGTCCAATGCGTTGATGGGCAAGGAGTAGCAGGGGTTTAATTCCAAGAAAAGGTTGGGCGATATAAAACGATGGTGGTGGGTAGCCGTTACCAGTACCACTACCACTACCACTAGTAGGTACTACTTTGCAATTATTGTGACTTTTTTTTGGCAAATTTGTTATTATTATGAAAAAGTCAATTTAGCTGTTGCGGAGATCGGTATGTATATGTTTTTATGTAAACATATAGTTTAGTGACAATTAACGTTCAAGTGAAAGCTACAGCTAAAAAGTATTTCAATACATTGCAAGTTCCTTCCAAGGATTAGGAAATTAGATAATTATTAATTATAAAGCATTTTTGTGTTAAGAGATTTTCTTTTGTTGGATTTCTTCTTCTTTTATGGGACTGGTGGGGCCATTTTGTTACAGACAAAATTAAGTTACTCATACGCAACGTAGTCCTATTCATTGCAGATAGCCGGTCTGAATATATTCGGCGGCCGACAGCCAGGCTTTGAGACCCTGTACGATCAACATCCAAATACTATGGAATTTTAATTTTTCTAATTGCGGTCACCTTTTGGCAGGCAATGTCATGGAAAAGTATCTCACAAAAACCCATCGACTGTTCGGAGGAGATTTAGAAAAAACTGTAGGTCTCTGCATTTGTTGGAAAAACATCAAAATGCGCACCACAAAGCGGAGGAGTAAGTGTGTCGAACATCGTCTCAGCGGTTACAAAGCGTCAGTTATACATATGTTTATAAACGTCAGGATAGAGGTCTTGAATACAACACCTTTATAACAATTACGTTTTAAGGTTTTTTTTTTTTTTTTAAAGAGGAACTATATTTATATTGAAAGAAATTTTTCCATTAAAAGATCGATGGTTTCGATGTTTTGTCTTATGCTGAAAGTAAATGCTATCCAGATCTGTATCATCCCATCCCGGTCATAAGAAAACATTCATCTTCTCTCTGTAGCGGAATCTAGTCTTTTTCGAATTTTTTTCGAAAAACTTAAGTACAATGACCCCGTCGCACCATAAACCGCACCAAATAGTGACACTTTGAGGATGGAGAGGCCTTCCAACAATAAATTTTGGGTTTTCCGAGTCACAGAAGCGTCGGGGTAGAGGCCCATTCCACCTGATGCGAATCTTAATAATTTCAATGCATTGTTGAAACGTGTATCATCGTGCATCGTTCTATTTTTTATACTGGTGTTGATTTTACATTTCAAATGTCACAAAATGACAGCTTCAAAAGTGGCAGACTCTTTAAAATAGCACCTTTTATTGGAAAACCCATTAGCTCACAAAAGTACGCTTAATTACAGAAAATATTTAGAAAGTAAAAATTACACTTTGCATTTATGAAATTACAAGTGAAATTACTTTTTGAATGTCACTCATACGCAGTGTCTTGCCGTAGTGACAATTTTGAACACTTAAAACGCTTCTAACGGAAAATTAACTACAGCGCCCTAATATATACAAACACATTTAATGAAATTCACAAATTTCTATAATATTTATTTATATACTAGATATGTATTTGTTTACAAGTATATGCACATACTTATATTTATATCTATTTACGGTGAATGCGTTTTTCAGTTTGGCGCTTCCTGCTGACTTCATTAATAATGTAGAGAAATCAAGTTATACTCGTTAAATGACATTTACGCTTCATTAATAATTATGATTGATGATAGCGTTAATTTTAGAAATTATATATTACAAAAAAAAAAATTGTTTCAAATTACACAAAATTTCCCGCGCTTACATTGATTATGCATTATTTTTTTTGACATATTAATTAAAATTTTATAAAAGAAAAAAAAAAATGAAATATTTAATATTGGGTATTCGAAAATTAAATTAACAATTCAAACATTAATTTTACAATTTTTAAATAAGGTCATAAGTTCGAGTTCTTTTTTTCCGACCAACATAAAAAATGATGAAAAATTTATTTATATCTTACACTTACTATTGACTGTGATTGCAAGGATATAGTCTTCTTTGAGTTGCTACCAAAAAATGAGAATTACAATTTCCACAGTCGTCAACTATTGAAATTTACAACAGAAATAAAGCACAAACGACCAGTGTGGATCAATAGTAAATAGTAAAAGCGTAAAGGCCACACCTCTTTGATAGCTCATCAAAAAACTAGTCCTATAGACTCTGCTTAGCACCATCAGATTACGACTCGTCTAGCTTCATCCCAAACTATTTGTAAAACTTTCGATTCCGATTAGGCTGTTAGAAATGATTAGGCGCGATTTTCCGTTTTTAAAAATCAAAAAAAATTTTCATGGAACCTGGAAAATTTAACTTACCGAAAGATGGCAAAGGCTCATCCATCCAAGGAACAAAGTCTCATATTCAGTAAGAAAAAGTGTTCCTAAAAGTAATTTAGGCTTAAGCTACTTTTTTACAAAATTTTATATAAAATAAACGATAATTATGATTTTTTTTGTATATATCGTATAACTAAAAAAATTTCCCATAATTTTTGCATTAAACTGAAGGATTAGAATTTACCTTGGTTAGAATCATGTGGTTTGTCGTTTTGCTATCTAAAAGGTAATAAGATTATGCTCTCCTCACAGAAAATCTTGTGCCTTGGAACAATCGACTTTCACAGGCTTCTATTGAGGCCAATTTCGCACCAGCGAAAAATCACCATAGACAGGAACAGATGGTAATCACTTGGTGCAAGGCCTAGACTATAAGGTGGATGCGTGAGAACCTCTTCACCAAGCTCTCCGCACTTCTGACGAGTCACTATTGATGTGTAAGGTCTGGCGTTGTTCTGATGAAACACAAATCCGCTCCTATTGGCCGAAGCTGGGCGCTTCTGAGCGACGATACAAATATATCGGCCCTCAATATTGACGTTTTGGTAAGTGATCCACTTTTCATCCATGAGGCTTTTTCTCGTTAACCCATGGACAGCCACATAGCGAGTTTCTTTGGCATCCAGCTTTTTTAAAGTGCATCCAAACTATTTTTATTCAATATTTAGCTACTGAGCAATCGAAACTGTGCTCGCTTGAGGATCAGACTAGATGATTTTCATTATTTTATCCACATTTCCGACGATTGGCCTTGCACACCCTAGAACATCTTTTACTTCGAAATCATCGGAACGAAATCGACCAAACCAAAATAGTGATTATATTAAAAAAAGTCTGCCTGACTGGAGAAAAATTGTAGAATAAAGCGTATTTCTTCTTTGCTGTTGTTCATCTTTGGCATGCGCTCAAATACTGCTAAGTTAAGTGATCAACACTTCTCCCATTATATTTTCGAGTAAAAAACATCATCTTTCTAACGCCATCTAGTGTAACCAATCGCACTTATCGCTAAAGTCATTTATTGCAAAATTGATTGATTACTTCTTACTCGACCAAATATAATATATATATTTAAATTAAATGAATTATTTAACGCTCGAAATTGTTTTTATAAATAAATAATAAAAAAAGCTTGCTTGCTATATTCAAAGGAAGATTAACGAAAGTTTAATGGTTGCAATATAAATAAATAAAAATAAAAAATAAAAAGGTTAACATTTTTATTTATTTACAAACTATTTAGAATACTCATAATTAGCCCAAATTTTCACGTAAAAGTAATAAATTGGTCACATAATAAAATGTTCCACATATAATGGCCGTTAAAAAAGATTTAGTTGTAAATTTACCAA